GGCTCTGCCCCACCATCCATCTTACACTACTAACCTCTCTCACTAGTTCTATTGGCTGCATTTATCATCGTTGCTGATTCCCAGTAAATAGTGAGTTGTTTGGGGAACTGCAGTTTTCTTATCACACTGAGTGAGAATACAGGCTTAGCAATATTTTTGAAATGAGCTTGAATATAAAAAGGGAGAATGTGTAACAAAAGAGCGGCCAGCCATGGCGCTTGCTAAAAGAATGGTTTTAAAGGATTAAAGACAGCTTCACTGAGAATGGGGTTTCATTAAAATAGTAGAGAAAGTAAGAGAATGTACTAGATCAGGATTAGCAAACCCCAGTGAATGAAAGGAATAATTTTTGGAGGAAAGAAAAATAATGTAAACTATGTAGAGTAAATTTGAGATTTTGAAAGGAGACCCTTGGGAAAATAATCCCGTATAAGACTAAAACCACAGATCTTGTTGTTGGGAAAGAACTACAGTTTTGTTAATGATTGAAGTTCCAAAATCATAACCTTGATTTCATAGTTTTGGAAGCATTGACCATTGTCATGAAAGATGTTCTAAGATGAGTTAATATAATGGAGGGCAGGATGTTAAGTAATTCAAAGAAGTTCTCAAAAATAGAAAAATAATGTATAGGACTCAGAAGAGTCAGGTGAAGATGGCAGAGAATGTAATGCTTGTCATGAGCACATTTCAGGAAAGGGAAAAAGACAGAAACAAGGACAGTATTTAAGAGAGGTATGGTGCTAATTAAACCAGAGCTACACATTGAGTAGCTTTTTAACTATCTACTACCTGTGAGATGGTCAAATCCAAGCAGGCCTCCTATGTCCATTTTAGTTCCATCACATCAAGCTTTATGTGAAATTTGGTTTTCTTGTCCATTATATTTGTTAGATGACTTTTTTTCAGTTTTCAGTGAGAGATTGAAGCTTCTGAATGCTATTGGATCTATTATTTATATAGTTAAGTCTAACCAAAGGCTATTATGTTTATTTGTGACATTTAAAGGAGTGTCTGATTGTGGTGATCACAGTACCTTTTAACATAATATTTGAGGCCAGAGTTTGCATTTGTAATAAGCTATTGTTCTCTAACACCACCCCCTAGGGGGTGCAGCCTTGCCAGACCACAGTGGAAGACAATGCAACCAGTCCTGATGAGACCTAATAGGCTAGGGTCAAATAGAAGGGGAGGAAGACCTCCCCTATCAGTGGACTAGGGGAGGGGGATAGGGGAAGGAGAGGGAGGCCAGGTGGGAGAGACTAGGGAGGAGGTTACAGATGGGTTACAAATTGAATAAATTGTAATAAACGATAATAAAAATGTTTTAAAAAGAAGCTATTGTTAAGGGCTGAGGAGATGACTTAGCAGGCAAAGATCTGTGCCACAAAGCCTTGAAATGTATATTCGTTCTCATCTAAGGAACCCAGATAGTGGAAGTCAAGAGCCCATTCCCACTACTTGTCCTTTGACTGTTACTGGAAATTTGGGTGAGTCCCTCCATGGTCATTATTTAATTACCAGAGAATTCAGTTTCCCTCTTGAGGTTCTTGGTCTCATTAATAAGAAAATTTATGAGCAGTCTCAAACAAAAAGCTGAAGAAAAGATTAATAGAGTTTAAAAGAAACTTGCCCCAGGGAAGGCAAGCTGTAATTTTTGAAAGCTGCTTGGAGGAGAATGGGGAAGAGAAGAAAATAAGCCACACCATTGAATGTAAGAAGGATGGAGGTCAGCAGCATGACAGAAGGCAAACACATGATAGGAAGTGGAACTTTATAAAAGAATATGGAAGCCTAAAGTGCCCTCAGAAGCAGACTTAAGCTTTGGAAGCTCCTGGAAGAACAAGACACAAAAAATAAATTGTTAGGTCTTTTGAATCAGGCTTAGTAAAGGCAGATGGGCCCAGCAGAGCTTCTAGGTAGATTATAGGTTCTACAATAAGGAGAGAAATTTCTGGGAAGGAAAAGTACAGTATGTTGTTAAAGAGATAATTATTTTATCTATCTCTTCAGCATAGCTTATTGTGAACTCACATTTCTAAAGGTGCTTTCACCTGCAGGGTAGCCTCTTGGCCATGCATATGCTATGGTCCATGCACACACAGAGGCCCACAGATGCATATGTGTATGTGCAAATAAATAAGTAAATATAAGTCTTTTGCTAGACAACTCTTTATTAAGTAGATTACTTTCAGGCATTCTTTAGCTTATTTACTTATTCTCTTGATGTGGTATGTGCTTGTTGAGAAGCTTGAGGTTAACGTTTATTTTGGTACAGTGGTATTCAAAGTACATATTCATTTTTTCATAGATTATGTTCACATATTCAACACGTAAAGTACAACTATTAACAGATAATAAGTAAACATTAAACTATTTTAGAAATGATTATTATATGGACTAAGGTCTTAGTTGCAAGTTACATGATCTACTTCTGTCAACTTATGGAACTAAAAGCATGTTAAAGGGCTCTTGGAATTGGGAGTTGAGAAATACAGACCCCCTATTGACAGTCAGGAAAACATGCACCAAATGATGCTATCTCTAGCGGTAATCTACCTGTAGTAGATCATTTAAGCGATTCTGCTAGCTGAGACAGGACTCAATTCTGATGACTTGCTTACTGGAGATGACTTTTCTCTTTGGGTACAGACCGTAGACGGGACCTACACTGCATAACAGTTGTCTGTAAGAAAGTTTGAACTTATGACAGGAGTCTACCACAAAAGGCATCTGAAAGACTCTACCTAGCAGTGTTTCAAAGCAGACACTAAGACTCACAACCAAACCCTCGGCAGAGTGCAGGGAATCATATGAAAGAAGGGAAGTTAGTATGATATGGAAAGGATAGGAGCTCTACAAGGACCAAATATATCTGGGCACAGGGTCTTTTCTGAGACTGACACTCAACCAAGGACCATCTATGGATATAACCTAAAACTTCTGCTCGGATGTGGCCTGTGGTAGCTCAGTAACCAAGTAGTTTTCCAAAGTAAGGGGAACACGGACTATTTCTAACAGGATCTCAAGGGCAGGCTGTTCGACCCCCACCCCCCCAGGGGAGGAGCAGTCTGTTAGGCCACAGAGGAGGACTTTGCAGCCAGCCCTGAAGATACCTGATAAAACAGGGTCAGATGAAAGGGGAGGAGGTCCTCCCCTATCAGGGGACTTGGAAAGGGGCAGGGAGGAGACCAGGGAGGGAGTGTGGGGTTGGGGAGGGAATGAGGGAGCGGGATACAGCTGGGACACAGAGTTAACAAAATGTAACTAAAAATAAAAATAAAAATAAAAATAAAAAATAAAAAAAATAAATTATTTAATTTCACATTTAAAAAAAAAAAAGAAAGTTTGGATATGGGAGGTGTTTGCTGATAGTGTGGCTAATCATATGGAAAGTTACAAAATAAGATATAGGGAAGGAATTCACCAGATTTGGGCACTCATGAAAGACAAGTATTTCTCTGGTGCTATAAAATACATTTTGCTTTAAGACACAATTGTTATTGATAATCTGATTTAAATATTGCTGATAGTAATATATTACTCTCAGTAAATTCAGTTTTCCTCTTGATGATTATTTTTATTTTATATGTATACATGTACATCATTATTATTTAGAACTTAGGATGGGACTTCTATTGTATATTTGTTTTGTCTCCTTTATGTTTTATTTGTACTTTCATGATGAATGTTTGAATGGTATCTTCAATGTATGGATCATTTCTGGAGTGTGTTCAAAGCCAAGTGTTCAATTCATAAGACTTAGGTTTGGTTCTTATGTAATATGTATACCTAGGGCACATGAATTCGTATATCAAAGCACAGGTGAGTAATACTGTATCAGTAGGCTGAAATTCAGTCAGCAAATGAGAAGACAATAGTTTCCCACTTGCAGAGTGGAACTCCCATCTTTCTTCAAGTTACCTAGATATCCTGAAGTGTTTATGCGCCATCACATCAAACACTTTGACTAAATAATGAGGTCCAAGCCAGCATAAATGTAGTTATTAATTTAGCCTATCTTATTCTTGTTTAGATAAAAATAAGTAGGTTAAGGGTTTCACATGTTCATTTTATCCCTCTATTAGATTTCATTATGAATCCCATGAGACATTTTGTTTCAGAAGCTAGAGCATAAGAAAAGAGAAGCTTTTGAATATTGTAGCATGGTACTGCCATGGCCTGATGTGCTGGTTTTATTTATTTTTTGTTTGTTTGCAAATATGTATTTTTATATTCATGAATATTTTTGCCTTCATTCATGCAATATGCACCACATATGTACCCGGAACTGACAGAGGTCAGCAGAGGGTGTCACATTCCTTGGAACTGGAGTTGCAGATGGCTGTAAACTGTCTTGTGGGTACTGGTAACCAAGCCTGGGTCCTCTGCAAAAGCAGCCACTGCTCTTAGCAGCTGTGACATCCCTTGAGGCCCCAAATGGGACTTTTTGATCCCTCACTCAGAAACAGCAGCTGACATTGTCTGGCAAAGGCCAAAAACAGGAAGACCAGATAAGGGGCTGTCCTATGTTGTTTGTGATAGGAAAGATTACTGAATGAATTTCAATGTTTAAGCAATGTTGACTGGTTGAAATTTTAAGGTAGGAAAATGAGGGATGATTTTCAGATGTCTGATGAAAGCAAATATTTTGTGAACAAAGAATTGATTCTTACATACTGACTGATTCCAGATTGCTTTTGCTGAAAGAGGTGAGAGACACAGCTGGGATATTACTCTTCTCTCACTGTTTTTATTCACAGCGCAAATGTCTCCCTGGAATGTGCATCTTCTGCTTCTTCCTAAATACTGATGTGACATTATTTAATAGGTGTTCAGGCATTATAAATATGATGTTTCCAAAATGGATAGTGAGCAAATTGTTGGAATAAATGTGGTTTTTTTATGCCTTTGTGATGTATGGCAACATTGTGTGGAAAGGTGGGTGGTTCATGTTTGTCCTGTGACTGGCTCCTTGACGCTTCTTGTCTTCTTTTTAGCTGGGATGACAGCAGTTCAGTGAGCAGTGGTCTCAGTGACACACTTGACAACATCAGCACAGACGACCTGAATACCACATCCTCCATCAGCTCATACTCCAACATCACAGTTCCCTCCAGGAAGAACACGCAGGTGAGGAGCTGTCCTCTCTCTTCGTACTGACTCAACTATTTCTTCCTCCATTTTTTTCTTAAATTTAAGTTGTGGTTTTACATTATATCCTGAAGCATTTGCATAAGTTAAATAGACAGATACAGACCCACCAACTCTGCTTTTATCTCAGTCTTTCTAGAATTACACCCCTAAGAATCATACCAATGACCAACCACAGCCTCTTTTGAAGACTATAAGCAGCTTAGACATATTTGCTGGTGTCTAGCCCAGAAGGACTCACATTGCCATTTCCCCGCCTTCTAATACTGATTGATTTAAAAATAAAGTTTAAAAACAGTCTAACATTGGATTCCTCTTAATTAATTTTATACTGATCTCAAAAACAAATTACAGGGCTCACTTGTAAATGGTAAATCAAGAAAAATATATTCTATCTTGTCTTGGTTTTTCTTGTCACATTAGTCATAGAAAAGTCCCTTCCTTTGAGGAGTTTAATTAGGCTTTTCTGAACATTATTTATCCTGACATTCTCTAATATCTGCAAAGAGAAATTCTATGGCTCAAATTGATGACACTTAAGTGAAGCCGTAGTTAAAAATAGAATCATCTTTGGCATGCTTCTGATGTATAAATCAGTGCTCCATTATTTTTCTTACCAGTTATCTGAAAATGCATTTCGGTGCCGGGTTCACACATTATAGGATTTCTTTCATGGGAAGTTTTTCTTTATAGCTTAAAACAGATACGGAGAAGCGTTCGGCAACAGATGAGACCTGGGAGAGTCCAGAAGAGCTGAAGAAGACTGAAGAAGATTTTGACAGCCACAGCGATGGAGGTGCCAAGTGGAAGGGCGCTGCTCCTGGACTCGCTGAAGACTCAGAGAAGACAGGGCAGAAGGGGGGCCTGTCGGTGTCTCAGACAGGCTCCTGGAGGAGAGGCATGTCTGCTCAGGGAGGAACATCCGCTAGGCAGAAAACCGGCACAAGTGCACTCAAGACCCCTGGTAGGCTTGCCACTTGGGCTCTTCTCTGCAGAAGTGTTTTAACCTGTGGTCCCGTTTGACGCATGTGGTTACGTGTATGGGACCCCCCTTGGATAATTCTATTCTTCCGCACACAGTGAAATGATTGTATTCTATAATCCATGTGCTTTGTCATGTAAAAATCATGTATGACGATCTGAGGATTCTGCGGGAATCCCTCTCATCAAATGGGGCTGCTATCTGCTACATTACAATTTGGTCGCTTTAGGTCATACACAGGTAAATTATTGGTTCTGCATAAACAATGACTCATTTTTCCTAACTTGTTAATGAATATTTTTGGTATTGATTTTACGAATGCCACTACCTTTGACCACAAAGCTGAGGTCTGAAAGCAATCGTACTAACCCGAGAATTAGAGTTTCCTTTACTTTAGATTCTGTTTGTCAGTTAAACTTTATGAAGGAAAAGAGTGAAAGAATTCTGCTCCCTTGTGCCACCTGTCTTATTTTATAAATAGTGTCATCTGAAGTGTGGATGTCATCGAGTCCTTCAGATATAATCATATTGAAGGTACTATAATTAAATTATTGTCTAGTACTTAGTCTAGTGGCACCCTTGTGAAGCAGCATTGTTGTAAGACACGCGATATTAACGTGTTTTCACTTTATTTCTTCCAGTTGGTCACATTGCCTCTGACAGGCATGTTTTTATTTTCTAGCCTTCACTCAATCCTCTCATTATATTAGAGTGCACCCCTCCTTAGATCTGAAACAAGAAACACATCAGAACTGAACTGATATAAAAAGCTAAAGTGCATTCACATTTTGCATTTGGTTTTGGAGGTGTCGCAATGTGCGATAAATGTCTCTGTGTGTTTCTCTTTAATTAGGGAAGACTGACGATGCCAAAGCTTCAGAGAAAGGGAAAACTCCCCTTAAAGGATCATCCTTGCAAAGGTCCCCTTCAGACGCAGGGAAAAGCAGTGGAGATGAAGGGAAGAAGCCACCCTCGGGCATTGGAAGATCCACTGCCAGCAGTTCCTTTGGCTACAAGAAGCCAAGTGGTGTAGGGTCCTCTACCATGATCACCAGCAGCGGCGCCACCATAACAAGCGGCTCAGCTACACTGGGGAAAATCCCCAAATCCGCTGCCATTGGTGGGAAGTCCAGCGCAGCAAGGAAAACCAGCCTGGACGGGTCCCAGCATCAAGATGACGTGGTCCTGCACGTGAGCTCCAAGACCACCCTCCAGTACCGCAGCCTGCCCCGCCCTTCTAAGTCCAGCACCAGCGGTATCCCGGGGCGAGGTGGCCACAGATCAAGTACCAGCAGCATTGACTCCAACGTCAGCAGCAAGTCAGCCGGGGCCACCACCTCCAAACTGAGAGAACCCACTAAGATCAGCTCAGGGCGCTCCAGTCCGGTCACTGTCAACCAAACAGACAAAGAGAAGGAGAAAGTAGCGGTCTCGGATTCCGAGAGTGTTTCTTTGTCAGGTTCCCCCAAATCCAGCCCCACCTCTGCCAGTGCCTGTGGTACACAAGGGCTCAGACAGCCAGGGTCCAAGTACCCAGATATTGCCTCGCCCACATTTCGAAGGTAAGGTGTGCAAAGGGACGCTGGGAAAATGTAAACGGCACTATATAACATGCATTTATGCTGCAAAAAGGTATCTTAATTCATTCTAAATATTCTAATAGTCTGTATCCTAGACTTGTTTAAAATACAGTGAATTCTACAGAGCTGATTGCACAAGTTGCTAGTGTAAAAATGTCCATTTAGAGAAGAGGTCAGCTTTTCAGTTTTACAGCGTGACACTAGAAATACAAGGAGCATGCGTAATAGGCTTGAAAGCAGATGACCGACTATTCATGGAAATAAAGTGATGGCTTATAAAATACTTTTCACATTTTGTGAGCAATTTTCACATTTCCTTTCCATAGTTAGAAAACCAAGCTCCATAGATCTTTATAAATACCACATTTGCTTCACTATCTTAGTTCATTATCTTATATATTAGTACATTATCTTACTGACTCCTAATGAGTTGGTGTTTCTGAATATCGATGACATATTTTTTGTACCAGTTTACAATGGACCAATTTATACAGTACTGGAGCTTAACATAGTAGCAAAATAAGTATGATTTGATTGCAAAATTTGAAAACATCTAGATGTTTGACGCAGGACTAACACTCAAGAGTGAGGTGACTTTTACAACTCATCATCAGTGTCCTTTGACAGGGCCCAGCAACATATCCGATGCATGCATCAGGATTATCTTTGTATTAAGGATGTGAAATTCTGCTTAGGGATATTCCTGATTTTAAAGATCCTAAGTAGCAGTGTGGGAGAGGGGGATTTAATGGGTGAGTTAGGACAAACAGTTCAATAACCCTGGATGTTTTCTCATTTTCAAAATGATAGAGTGTAATTTATCATCTATTACTTGTTAAATATTTAAGGTTTGTTTTTATTCTGCTGATTTACCCTAGAACTTTGATCTCTTAGGATGAATCTTGGAAAACTTACTCTCACGTTTAAGTAACCTTTAAAATATAATTGTTTGAAAAATAGCAGTCAAGCTTAGAAGTACTAATTGTGAAGAGCATTTTGATGTGTCTTTTTTTTTTTTTTTTCTCTTGGAAAGAACAAATTATAGCTTGTAGCAAGATAAATATTTTCATTGCTTATATGAAAGCCAATAGTGCCCTCCAGTGGCCCATTACCTATGAAACAATTTCTCATATTCGTCATAGAAACCTTCCACTGCAGGAAATATGGATTTCATTGCAACTGAATTAGTAACCATTCTGCCATTCCTTCATATCATATTATTTCCATATTTGCATAAATTTGATTATATCACCAGTTTCGTTTACAAAACTAAAATGTTTTCTGAACTAAACTCCAATATCTAACTTAGCACCAATGATATTTCAAATCAGTGATATAAATATATATCTGAATAGCTTTGGCAACTGACAAAAATCCCTGTGGTCTTTCCATGGGAAGATAGAAGCAAATCCATAAGTTGCCAACAATATCCAATATTTCCAACCCTGCCACTCAGGCCTCTAGACATGACCTTGCTTATTTGAACCTTGCATTAAATGTCCCCTTTAGATTTTTGAAGAATCTATTCTAAAAGGAAGAAAATCCACTTAAGTGTCATCTACTGAATGCGTAGAAGTTGTTTCATTATAATGGTTCTGTAGCTAGGTAACGCCAAAAGGGCCAAAGTGTTGGAGAGTCCTCTGGCTCCCTGTCTGGACAGACCACAGGCACTCATGAGGTGTGGAGCCTGCTCATGAGAATGGGCAGTGTGAGATCTACTCTCTCAGAAAGGTGATCACTAGAAGTGTAAAAGTCAAGCATGATCATGCTTCACTTTTGCCCACTTCTGCCCGCCTTGGTTGCAGTCCAGTGCTGACTTCCCCTTAAGATATTATAAGAGACTTTTAGTAGTTGATTAATAAAAGACCAGTCATATACCTTCAGGAACATAGAGGCTGGACGTGCTGGGTAGCTCACTACTCTAAAGCACACTTGGCTCTGTGGACCGAAACCCTATGCAATGTGGATATGAGTCTTTTGGAACAACTGAAGTTGTTATTTGTTTTTCTTTTAGGTTGTTTGGTGCCAAGGCAGGTGGCAAATCTGCCTCTGCACCTAATACTGAGGGTGTGAAATCCTCCTCAGTAGTGCCCAGCCCTAGTACCTCTTTAGCCCGTCAAGGCAGTCTGGAGTCACCATCGTCTGGTACGGGCAGCATGGGCAGTGCTGGTGGGCTGAGTGGCAGCAGCAGCCCTCTCTTCAATAAACCCTCAGACTTAACTACAGATGTTATAAGCTTAAGTCACTCGTTGGCTTCCAGCCCGGCATCGGTTCACTCTTTCACATCGGGTGGTCTTGTGTGGGCTGCCAATATGAGCAGTTCCTCTGCCGGCAGCAAGGACACTCCGAGTTACCAGTCCATGACTAGTCTCCATACGAGCTCAGAGTCAATTGACCTGCCCCTCAGCCATCATGGCTCCCTGTCTGGACTGGCCACAGGCACTCATGAGATGCAGAGCCTGCTCATGAGAACGGGTAGTGTGAGATCTACTCTCTCAGAAAGGTGAGCTTCCCTGGAGGCATTGATGAGTCCTTATCCCCTTCTTCCTGGACTGTGCACACCACCCCATCCTACCAAATTCCCTTGATGCCAACTGTGAATACAACTATGCAGTGACATGAAATTGAACGTACATTCAGAATTAATATTGCTAGCACCAGTCTTATTCTTTACTCTCATTGCCAGTTCTGCTAAGGAATAAAGTCACTTTAAGTAGGATGATTGGATAATTTTCTTAACGTGAATGCCTACATTTCTAGTCAATAGGCAATTTCTATAATATATAGTATGTCTTTACGCAGTGAGTGGTATCTTCTCAAGGCATTTTTAGTGGTTGGCTTGAGATTCAAGACAATGCAGCTCTTTGGGATGACTAAAACTTTGATAATGACCAAATTTAAGACATGCTATGATGCCCAAGTTGTCTATTAACCTATTATTTTTAACTATTTTCTTCTGAATTCTCTTGCCTTTGTGAAATACAAAATTAGGAATGAAACACTGCCTTTCAGTGTCCCATCGCCTTGCTGCAAACCAACAGGCAGCAAACGGCACTTCCTCCACACAAAAGCACTTGATACCTAAGTGAGCTATTGGTGTAAAGAATTTTAAAAAATGAGTAGATATCTAAATCAAATAAACAGGTTATAATTTATTAGCCCCCATCCTCCCAACTATAAAAATGAAAATATGAAGTTGATCATATATATAGAGAGAGATTCAATTCATATTTCTTTTGCATTCAAACATTAAATACTAAGAATGATGGTCAAGTACATTGTTTTAATCAAGAAACTGTCAAATCAAAAACTACATGTTAAGATTTATACGTTATAAGTATAGTTAATTTTAGTTTTAATACTTTATTACGCATTTTAGCTCCAGTCTATGAAAATGTTTATTAACCAGATGTGGTGGCGCATGCCTGTAATCCCAACATTCGGGAAGGCAGAAGCAGGGAGACCTGTATGAGGTCAAGGCCAGCCTGGTCTGTAAAGTAAGTCCAGGAAAGCCAAAGGCTATATAGAGAAACCCTGTCTTGAAAAACAACAACAAAAATGTTTATTATAGAAATACAGCAATAAATATACACTTATTTGCTGTTTTAAAGCAAATCATTTTTATAGTTATGCAATAATGGAAGTAGGCTAGTTTTGACCCACTATTAGAATAATAAAATAGACTTTCTAAAATATTCTTTAAATAGATTAGTGAATATTAAGCTATATAAAGTGAATGTGAATATCTTAATAAGAATGATATATAAGACTGATAGAAATCAGTTCTTTCCAGTAAGTGGCTAGATTATTATTTTTTATTTAAGACATCGTATATACTCTTTTTTCCAGAAAGAAATTATAAAGTCTAGTTGTATTTTAACTCTTCAGAGTACAGATGAGGAAGTGTGTGGTCAATGAAAGGCAATCTTATGTGCAAATCCTGACATAAATGCTCAGCTCATAACTAAACTGAAACTATGAAAGTGTACTATAGTGTGGTTTCTTAAATTAATTTGAGATGTCTACGGTAGATGTTGAGGTAAATGTAAGTTTTTTACTTTTCTTGTTATACTTTGATCTTCATAGCCGAATACTAATAGGTCAGTGGGTTTTTATACTTATTCTAATTTTTATATAAATTGGTTTTCACTAAAATTTAAAAAGTAAGGAAATGAATGAATACAAATGAAATAGTTTTTTTATATTACCCTGCATATAAGATGTAGTCATTATTGGTTATGTGACTATATCTAACCCACATGTGTTTTGTTTTATTCTATTGTAATGTGATCAAACCATATTTTTAAAGTAATTTAAAGTCCTAGACAACCTTGACATTTTCTGCTTTGTTTGTTATTTGTGAAAATTAACAACCATGTCGATATTATAGCTAATGGACTTAGACAAACAGTGCATGGGTTGAAATCCCATTTTACTCATTGTCTCTGCCTCCCCAGCCATTGCTGGTATTGGAGTTTGCAGTTCTTGAGGCTTTGCAGAAAGGCCAACGTAATATTGTCATGAATGTCTAAAGCGGTAGTTCTCAACTTTCGTAATGCTACTACCCTTTAGTATAGTTCCTTTTGTTGTGGTGACCTCCCACCCTAAATTTATTTTTGTTGCTATTTTATAAATATAATTTTGCTAATGTTATGAATCATAATGTAAGTATTTTCGGAAATAGAGACTTTCCACAGGGGTCACAACCCACAGGTTGAGAATAACTGGTCTAGAGTTTAGGAAATGGTTCTATATTACTTAATTTAAGTTCATTATTTTCTCAGTTATTTCACTAAATTTCACTGTAACATATAAACATGTAATTTTTATGCAGCCAGATAACATTAGCAAGACAATGGCAATTGTCTCATTTTCTGCAATATTTTAAAGAAATAATCTTTAAAATAACACTAGATCACATAAATACATAGCCCAATATAGTTTTTGTCTTTAGCATGATTTTTTATTTGTTTAGCATGATTCCTTAGGTTTGCTTATTCCTGACAGTTAGGAAATTTTAAAATTATAATGTATGAGCAGAACGAATTACTCATTGGCATAAAAATTGCACCTTCTATAAGAGATGGAGTACCTGTAGAAGAAAACATTTTAGCTTTGATTATGAGTGATTTAATTTTAAGTCAGTCTTTTTACATTTATGTCACGTCATCCGCATTGTGAACATGCTCTGTATTTAATTTTGATCATTTGATGTTCTTAACAAAGAGAGCAGTGGTTCTGTAAATCCATATTCATTTTGTGCTTTGCTAATCTGCATGCTAGAGATTAGAATGGAGGCTCTGAATGTGTCCCACCATTCTTCTCCATTTTCAGGGAGTCATTTTCCACTTATCTAGGCACACCTTTCTATGTCTGACCAACTGTGAATTAGTTAAATAATGGTGGATATATATCAATGCCCAATCAATGATTTCTTAAACATGAAATAGCTTCACTTAATTAAAATATTTAAAATATGCTATAAAATATCATTCAAAGAGAATACCTGCTATATGCTAAATTATCTCTTATATATAAGTGGAAAACAAATCTATTCTTATTAGAAATAGCTAGAAAAGAAGAATACATGAGTTTTCCATCCTCTCTTGTCACATTAGCAGCAAGTGTCATTGTCATCTCATTGATCCTCCTCCATATGAAGTGATAGCAAAAGTCTAGTTAGCTGCACAGAAAAGAGAGACCACCACAGCATCTACAGGGAAGTTACACTAACACGGTTTAGTGTGTTTTCCAATTGTTCTGTGAATGTGACTAGGATAGAGAGAAAGTCCACATTTATGTCAGGACAAAAACCCTGTCACCTAGTTGTCCTTTGCAGCCGGTTCGGTATTCACGTGTGTATTACCAGACTGTTATTTTGGTTGTTCAGAGAATGAATTTTGTTGGATATGTGATTTGGAAGTTTTGTTTGCATTATGTCCTTAGGGGTTTTCTTTGTTTTAACAGCATGCAGCTTGACAGAAATACACTACCCAAAAAGGGACTAAGGTATATATTTCTCTCAGCGCAACTGCTGCCTTTTCTGTTGTTATGTAAACTTTCTGTACCGTCTCTTTTCCTTCCCATCTGTGTACTCTGTAGCACCTGACATGGAAGATGAAGTCACTCTTAATTTTTAGCTTTTTCTAGCTGTAAGAGTAGGTGATTGCTCCTTAGGAAAAGATACCAGTGAGGACGGAGGTGGTTAATCAAGTGAATCCCAGTAGGAATATCACGATTAAGAAATAATATAAACTTGTCTGAGGCAGCTAGGGGTAGGATGTGGGAATCCGTTTTCCTCTCACTAAGATAAAATTACTTCTCCAGGTTTTTCACCTCAGAGGTATATACTGGCAGAACCACAAAACTGAAACTGGGGAGGTCACTCAGTTGGTAAAAATGCTTGGTAAGCAAGCATGAGGACTTGAGTTCAAATCCCTACCACTCACATAAAGATCTGAGCATACCACAGGGGATTACATGTGGCCTGTAATCCCCGAACTTACAGTACTGGAAAAGGAGGATAACCGGTTGCCTGGTTGCCTACATAGCTCTGGGCTTGGTAAGACAGTAGCGAGCCTATTTCACAGGATCAAGGCAGAGGGTAATAGAGCAGGATGCCCAATGTCCTCTTCTGGCCGCCACGTGCAGGTATGAACACCAATCCACACCCATAAAATATAAACATTCACATACACAAGAAGTTACAGTTTTAAAAGTGAAAAATAATACCCCAAATCTAAATAGTCTACACCTGTGACAAGTCATGATGAAAGGCTAAAATATGTTATAAATGGAATTTAAAAAAAATATCATCACAGGTCAGGTATAGCGATTAAGGTATTATTTTACAAAAGGTGTTTTATAAACTCAGTTCCAACATCTGTTTTCCATGTCTGCTTTTATTATTTGCCATGTCACTTTAAATCTGAGTTAATCCAATGTCATTCAGCAATTTCTAAGTAGTTACTCAATTCAGAATAAAATAAAATGAAAATTGAATTTGTGGCCAGGAACCTATCTTACACACTTTTTTTTTTTTTCCTGAGAAAAAGATACTGAAAGGAAACAAAACAAAACAAAAAACAAACAGCTAACAGGTACAGCACTTTGAGTGTGGCAAGCTGTCTTCAAGTGGCATTTCAGTCAAAGAACTGAAGGAAAACCCCAGCTATCTTTTGTGTCCCATTCCCTGTGCTGTTCTGTGACTGTCACTGTGCCTCCCTTGGCTTCTGGTCTACCACGGTCTGCCATGTTGAATCAGTGTTTTCACCTTCCCATGTCCTTCCAAACACAGTGCTTTGGGAGCCTTCTCAGTTAACTTGGCTGTCTGCTTATTGCTTATGACTTTCAAGTCCATATCTCACAGAAGCATCATTTTCTTTTCAAATGCCTCTATTTATTTTCCCTGTGGGATCAAGCAGATGGTACCAAATCATCTGGAGGAACTGAGCAATTGTAATTAGATCCAATCTGTGTGTGATTGCTGTTCAGTCTGAATAGTGAGCTCCTCTCGATTGTTTTCTTGTCCTGGTATTGCCTTGTCCTTGTAGATGTGCTCAAGTGCCTCAGCTGTGCTGTTTTGCAGATACACCCCATCGTCTCGGCAGGCCAACCAAGAAGAAGGCAAAGAGTGGCTCCGTTCCCATTCCACTGGAGGGCTGCAGGATACTGGCAGCCAATCACCCCTGGTCTCCCCTTCTGCCATGTCATCTTCAGCCACGGGAAAATACCACTTTTCCAACTTGGGTAAAATATTCTAAATCATCAATTCTGTTCCACTCCTTTTACAACCCACTCTCATAGGAATACTGGCGTCTTTCCATAAAAAAATAAAAAAGAAGGGAGGAAGAGTGAGCCTCAACATGATGCTTACTATATACAGAAAAATTTCTAAATATTGTATTGCTTATTTTATGACAAATGCTTAATTGTCATAATTATCGTTACTAGAGTTATTGTTTTATGACTAAAGCTGAACAATGTAAAACAGACCACTGTTTTGTAAGTATCCAAAGCAGGGACAAATCACAGAACACCTGTCCTCAAAAAAGTGACCCTTTGTGTTTCATCTCAATGTCCTTACTTGTATTCTCTAAAACATGTTAGCTTTTTGTTGCCACTGAACATAGTTAATGATCAGTATACAGAAAAAAATAGAATATAAAAATAGTCAGATTGAAAATAATATGCAATTGTATGACTGCAAGATAATTTCTTGAAACCTTTTTGAAATCAAAATGCTCCTTAACATGCATAATATGTCACTGAAGCTAGCACTCTGTGAACATTTTTAGAGGACTCTATTGAAAACTAAATGACTGCCTTATGCATTAGCATCATTTGTAGGAAATAGAGTCATTTATGTAAATATCACATAAACAGAGAAGATTGAGAAAACAATGAAATATGTCTAAATATGTTACTTGTCACTTAAAAGACCTAGTGATGCTGTAAAAAAATAAATTTCTTGGACTGAAGAGGTGGTTGAGGGCTAAGAGGTAGTACTGCTTTTCCGAAGGACGCAAATTTGGCTCCCAGCACACACATAGGTCGGACCACAAAGTTCTGTAACTCTAGCTTTAGGGGAATGTATTTCTTCTAGCCTCCTCTGGGATCTGTGCACCCACTGCGCATAATTTCACATAGACACACATGTACACTTTAATAATAATAATAAATTTTTAACTGATTCATCTTCTGTCAAGTCACATGTGAAGTAGTCTCATTATCTTTTGTCAGGTGAGAAAAGATGGCTGCAATAATGTCGCCACAGATAGTTCACAAGCAAACAGTTGGAATTGTTGAAACCGTGCACATCCTATGCATGGTTTGGTTGGTAGTTCAGTGTCTTTGAGCTCCTATTAGCCCAGGTTAATTAATAACTGTAGGGTTTTTTTTATGGTATCTTTGACCTCCCTGGCTCCTTCAGTCTTTCCACCCCCTCTTCCACAAGACTCCCTTAGCTCTGCCTAATGTTTGGCTGTAGGTCCCTGTGTCTATTTCCATCAGCTGCTGGATGAAGCCTTTCAGAAGACAGGCTCCTTCCTGCAAGTATAGCAGAGTATTATTAATAGTGTCAGGGGTTGACTCTCTCCCAATCAGTCATTGGTTGGACACTTTCTCAATTTCTGTTCCATCTTTATCCCTGAGCATATTGTAAGAAGGACAAATTTTTGGTTGATGGTTTTGTGGGTGAGTTGATGTCCCCGTCTCTCCATTGGAAGTCCTCCCTGGTTACAGGAGGTGGCCATTTCAGGTTCCATAACCCCTGTTGCTGGGAGTCTTGGGTCATCCTCATAGGTTTCTGGAAATTTTCTGGCTCATTGTACGTTTCTCATCCCAGAGATGCTCCCCACCACAAATTTCCATTCTCTCTCCCAGTTCTCTTGCCCGTCATCCTCCTCACATTTGTTCCCTCCTGTTTTCCTTCCCTCCTTCTCCCCCACTCAGTTCTCTCCCTCCATCCACCTCCAGTGCCTATTTTATTTACAAAGATACTTTTTTTGCTAGGTAATGACAAAAGTTACTTAACTTGGTACATAATTATGAAACAGCAAAAAGTCAAACACTGAAACTTTTTAAAAATTAAAAAAAAATTGTAGTGTCTTAAGAATGTAAAGTGTACTGTTCAGGAAGCTGTCTCCTGTGCCAATGAGTTCAAGGCTCTTCCCCACTTTTTCTTCTAACAGGTTTAGTGTGTCTGGTTTTATGTTGAGGTCTTTGATCCACTTGGACTTCAGTTTTGTGCAGGGTGATAAGTATGATTCTATTTGCATGTTTCTACATGTAGACATCCAGTCAGGCCAGCACCATTTGTTGAAGATGCTGTCTTTTTTTCCATTGTATGGTTTTAGCAGCTTTGTCAAAAATCAGGTGTCCATAGTCTGTGGGTTTATTTCTGGGTCTTCTATTGGGAAGGGGTGAGGGAGCGAGCTATACCTGGGATACAAAGTGAATAATTTTTTTAAAAAAATAATTTGAAAAAAGAATGTAAAGTGTAGCTACATATAATGGAACACAAGCCCATCTGAAACACAAATCTAAATCACCCCAAGCACTATAGATTTCCTAAGTACTCCCTGCATTCTATCAAGTTTTTATTAATTAATATTAATTCAATTAGATTAATATTTATGTTGACTTGCCTATGCTCATTATTCAGAATAAATCCTTCCATTCCACTATTCTTGAATGAAACATAACATCCTCCTAATCTTTATTGTCTGACCTTAGGGAAGTCATTAAAACTTACCTGAATAGATATATAAAAACTAGGCCACACTACATTATTGATATAATGAATAGAAAGACCATGTAATACTTGAAGACATACAAATCCGACAAACATTTTTGCTGGAAAACATATTTCACACTGTGAAAGAGGAGCAGTTACATATGCCCAAGCTTTACCTGAATTTAATTCAGTATAATTCCAGATTAGTGGCTATAATATTTAATGTGAAGGTAAATCAAAGTGTCATCATATAAGTATAGAACACAACTATGACATTTTGATTAAGGCCTTCTTTACCCTGAATGTCAAATATTTGTACAGAAGTGTACTTAGAAGTTTGCAAAATTGAAATGAATGTGTTAGCTGAAGCCCTTGTATCAATGGTTACATGTTTTAAAACTGATGGTTGAGATTAAAAATTAAAGATTTTATTTTACTATATGGTTTTTGAAGAGTTGAAACAAAATATAAGAGAATTGTGCTTATACTGATAACAGACCATCTCCGTAGTACCCTGGAGATCTATTTACAGTTAACATATAAGGAATTATATACAAACCATACTTTAGCAGTGATTATAGCAATATACTGAAAATGAATTTAGGGGTCTGAAGTTTTAATATTTGTTATATTTGAATTTTGTGATATTTATAAACATTTTATATATTAGCACATCTTTAATAGTTAAAAAGAAAAGACAGTTGAAGAAAATGCGGAAGCTCTGTGCATTTGGTAACCTCAAAACTCAGGAGGAATGATGGTCAACGTGAGAAAATGAGTGGGCTAAGGTTTACGTTGTACCTTGCCTCGGGAATCACTGGGTAGAATCATTGACACCAACCCGTGGCTTCTCAGTAGTATACAGCAGTGCTTTGCAGAGCTATGCACTTTCCTGGAAGATGTTTTTTCTCCTTTTCTCAAGCATCCTTCCACCAGAATACTGTTTTCCTTACTACACTCTGCAGCATATTCACAGTGAAAAATTCCGAATGAACTAGAGACTAGATTCTCATGGAAACAAACAAACAAAAAAACATATGATTCAGCCACCCATCTATTAAATAAATTTTCATGACATTCTAAATTCACCAATAACAGAAACTATTCTATCTATCTAAATCTGGACACACATTTTAGAAGTTTTTCCTTTAGATTCTTTTTTTCTGAATTTTCAACCATTAACCTAGTTACATGTTCAGAATCCATACACTACTTTAAATTAAGAACATATAAAATTTTCTCATTTAAAACAATATAGTAACACTATTGGTTAATAGCTAGCTATAGAAACAAGGGTATTAAATGCCTTAGCATTATTTGAAAGTCTGGCCCAGGGGCTGGGGAGATAACTCCGTCAGCAGTGTGGACAGAAATGTAAATTGAATAAATGCATCAACTTCATCCAGTTTTCCACTGGTTCTTGTTCTCCTACTCATCATATATAATCTCAATAAAAATCAGCAGTTTTGTTCTGTGTGTTCAACTTGGGGCAAGGTCAGTCACGAAGGGATTGCACCATTTGTTTCTCTCCTATTCAGGGTTCCTCTGTGACTCCTGCTTTTGAGTGGACCTTAAAGTTCATATATTCTCTCATTATTTTCATCAGACTCTGAGGAGTAATGTTTGGATATTTGAGCAAGTTAGATGACTGAGTGAGATTTTTTTTTTAAGCATCAGTAAAACCACTTTACTACTTTTTTTGCATTCAGCTACGAGAAAAAAAATCTTTTTGTTTGTTGCTTTTCTCCATTATAGTATTCTCCTCTGGTGGGCATTCTTGGAATCAGAAATCATGTTATGTTCCTCTTCCTGTTTAACTATAAAACCAGCAAATCTTTCATCAATACTATAATTGAACATTCTCAAGTTTTGTTGGTGTGTTTCCAGTGAAAATAATCAATATTTCTTGTAAATTAAACTATTTCCTTAAAAGTTTAGGTAACTTTCATCTCTGTTTTAGCTTGAGTGATTAAAATGATATATTTGCAAGTATACAAGCAGCTTTTCCATGGATATGTCATTTGGGAAACCAAAGAGTGAGCAAATGTCCATTTAAATGCTGGAATAAATGCTAAAGTGATATACATGTAACAGGTTGAAAATCAGTTTTAAAAGAGTCCATGCATATTGTACACACTGAACAGGTTAATGCGCCCACCTCTGGACCTTGTATGTAAGCATTCAAGTTCTTTATAAATATACTGGCTCTTATCAGCAACCACAATGATTTTGAACTAATGGCCATTGTGACAGCTGGAGGAGAATGCCTGAATAAAAAATCTCACAGTCTCCTTCTTCCTCCATCCCTTTGTCCATCCATCTGCTCCTCCCTCCCTACTTACCTCTGTCTTTCTTTTAGTCTCTTGGTCTCTCTTCCTATTCTATCTCTCTCTCTTCTTTTACCATTTCCTTCTTTCCTTTTTTGCATTTTCTTTTTTTTGTTATATAATTTACATTTCATAGTTTATTCCTTTTTAAGTTGTATTTCTTATCTGTTTATAATCACACATATATATAATCATGTGCATGTTTGATTACTTCTTTACACTCCATTTAACTCCAGTTACCAGCTATCAGACGACTGCTCTGTCTCCTGGTTTAGTTATCACTATAAAACTTCAAGGATAAACAGTCTCATAGAGGACCCCTGTGCCCTGATATATTTGGTCCCTGTGGCGCTCCTGTCCTCTCCCGGTCATATTACCTCCCCCTTTTATCATATGATTCCCTGCACTCTGCTGAAGGTTTGGTTATGAGTCTCCGCATCTGCTTTGAAATATTGCTATTAAGAGTCTTTCAGAAGCCCTCTGCGGTAGGCTCCTGTCCTGTTACTTGTTTTTTCCTTCTTCCCATGTCCATCTCATAGATGTAACCCATGGTAGCTCAGTATCCAAGTGGGTTTCCCTAGTAAGGGGAACAGGAACTATTTCTGACATGAAGTCAATGACTGGCTCCTTTACCTTCACCCCTCCCTGAGGGAGGAACAGCCTTGCTAGGTCACAGAGATACCTGATAAGCTAGGGTCAGATGGAAGGGGAGGAAGGCTTCCCCTATCAGTGGACTTGGAAAGGGGCAGGGAGGAGATGAGGAATGGAGGATGGGATTGGGAGGGAATGAGGGAAGGGGCTTTGGCTGGGATACAAAGTAAATAACCTGTGATTAATATAAAAAAATAAAAATTAATAAAAAAGCTTCAAGGATAGTTCCTTATTAACAGTAGATATACACATTTGCTTATTTCTGATATAGGTTCCAATTTAACTTACCATGAGATGTGTCATGTTTCCAAAAATACAACAGGTTTTAAAAAGTCAAACTAATTCAGCATTGCTGCTATGGCTCTCCAATATTCTAATAGTGCTCAGCAATCTCCTTTATAGCTTACATGACCTTGGCCTATTCCTTATAGAGCAATAACAAATTCATGTTTCTTAAATGTGAGAAATGTCAATAGGACAAATTTACGATGGCTGTTTCTTGATTTTTCTGATTCAGTCTTATGCCAAATTTCAAAATGCAGTGGCTTTTTTTTTAATGCAATTGTTTATTTAATCAGACACATCTTCTTTTTTTAAGTTAATGATTATCATTTGGTCTAATCCGTAGAATACTATAAGAGCTGTAAGGCAGCTGACAGAATCTTATTTGAAATTGTTCACTTAAGACACTTCTTTGAAATATGCTTGTCTTGACAACTTCATTCTGATATTTTCATCTTAGACCCAGCACAAAATGACATTTTTATGATTCTCTTTCTAAGAAACTAGATACCATATGTATTTTATTTAAAGAAAATGCCTTTTATTTATCTTTATGCCCTTGCTCTAATAAACTCACATCAATATAGTTCAAAATGACTACAACTCACTGCCTGGAAACACCTAAAAAGCTCTTTTTGTGGAGATTAGATTTTTCTTTTCTTTTTATATTTTGCTTTCTTTTCCATTAAGCTTTTCCCATTAGAGAGATGATTATTTTCTAGAAAAGAAACCTGTAGCCTTCTGAGGGGCAATAATTTCTTCATAATTTACCAGAAAATTTCATGTCATTATGTCTGTAGCACAAACAGCCAAGGTGACATATTGGTGATGATTTCTATTTCTTTACAAATTGGCAAGATTATTGCCATGAAAGTGCCCAAGGGAAAGAAACATGTTTTCTGTTACTGATGTTTTTCAGGTGGAATCTTGACCTCTTTAAAACTGAGAGTTCCTAACATTCATGTTTTTGTAAGAATTGGGATTGTGTTCACTTTGTTTTAGCAAATTGTCTTTCCTGTCCTAGTCCTAAGCCTCTGCTCCTTGATTTCCAGTGAGTCCCACCAACCTGTCTCAGTTTAACCTTCCTGGTCCCAGCATGATGCGCTCCAACAGCATCCCCGCCCAGGACTCCTCCTTCGACCTCTATGATGACGCCCAGCTTTGTGGTAGTGCCACTTCTCTGGAGGAAAGGCCACGTGCCATCAGCCATTCCGGCTCCTTCAGAGACAGCATGGAGGAAGGTAATCACGATGGGTACTGGGGAAGATAAAAATGATGTTATTTCATATAGGTCTGAAAGGAAAATCATTTCATTATTCACAGCATAAGGAACCTTGAGGAGAAAATGAATCAGCGGGTGTAATTCTCACTTGGGGTTTGCTACAGCTTGAAGCTATTTTACTGTTTCTTTATATATTAGAAAGTGTGTCGGTGCCTTTTAAAATTGGAACTTGACTATAGAATGGTTTGGGATAAATCCAATGCTTTCCTACAGATAGACACAAAGCTTTAGAGGACCTTGTTATATGTGTCACATTTTAGAACAAATGTTTTAGCTGACACATTTATTAAAGATCTATAAAGACACATAAGCCATAAAAGGATTATCTTATGAAGCTATTGTATGTTGCTAGTTCTATTCTCAGAGGATCTATGTGCTGTTAGCTATGGTTTCATTTTAGAATTTATATTCTACCTACAATTTTCAATATAGGTCACATTTTTATTTAATAGTTATAAAATTCATACCTGACCTAATAAATCTCTAATAAATTTTTGTGTACAGTAGCACATGAATTCTCTAAATAAATCCACTCAAAAATCTCAAGAAGCTAAATACGTGCTCAAATGTACAAATTTTCTCAAGTGTGTGTATAAAACTCAATACCAGTTTAAGAAATCTCCCTTTATTTTAATGAATCATTTTTTAATTGCCCATGAAAAAAAAAAGCATATGACATGAAGATCATATCACATGTCAGTTAAGGAAAGGATCAAGCTAAGTATAGAATTCCAAAATGACTAGAGTAAAATCAAACATAAAGCCACCAGTTACTAACTGTGCATAACACAAACCCTCCCAAATTGAAGCACATCAGAAGGTAAGCCTTTAGTCATGAGTTTTTCATAGTCTGAACCAGAAAAGTTTCCTAGCAGTATGAGCTCTATTCTGTTTTATTCGCTTTGTAGATTTTCTCATGTGGAGAAATGCACATAAAAAACAGCTCTTCCTTCTTCTATCCCCAATGAATCATCTTATGTAAAGTATCTTGTGACTGTATGTTAAAGGCCCTATCAAAATGGTTGCTTGTTTTTCAGGTCATTGCCGTAAATTTAATATGTTAAAATCAGTTGCCCACCTTTGCCACTGCCTTTTGAGAGACTGAGCAAAGCATTGATCTCCATGTGAGAGGTGACACTTGGCTGATAGTACAGCATAGAACACAAAATGCAGCTAATCTGAAATGCTAGGCCCTTGCCTTTGGGAAGCGATTATGTCATGCTCCTGCACAGAAGGCTCTTTTACCTTTTATATTCTGTTAAACATATGGATGGTTTCTAGAGTGCCTCATGTACAAGTAGAATGATGTTCATTGCCAGGCCACTTAAAATAATTAACATTTAGAAATATCATAATAAATAATTCAATTAATAATTAATTGAAGAATATGAATTGCTAAAAGGCAACCTCAGTGGGCAGCCTGAACTCTTTCACGCCCATGCACTGAACGTCGAAACAGTAAGCCCTACTTAAAATGTGATCTAAAATGAAGGCGATCTGGAACTAGACTGAATTCTTCCTCAATGCTCACATGGAGAATAAGGAGCCTAGGCCACAAGCTGTAACATATTAGACCTATAAAGAACAGGTCACAGAAAGAGAATAGAATGGGCTCTGCGGAGCTGTTGCCCGTCTTCCTTCTGGTACTCCAGGCTAGCTCTTGTCATTTTTTTTCCAACATCACTAAAGAGCTATGTAGATATTGAAAGATGAGGCCTTTTCAGAAGATTAAGGGCTGAAAACATAATGTTTGAATGCTCGATGAGGTAATAGTATTGTCCCAAGTCCTAGACGTTGACTTTCTCCCCCCTTTTCAGAATCATCTACACGGTAATAAACACTTTCAAAGAGACTCTCCTGCAGGCAAGCAGTTGGCCCGGCGGGCAAGAATGCTTACTCTGCAAGCAAGAGGACCTCGGTGGAGCCCCAGCCCCCTAGTAAAAAGCAAGCTATTGTGCACACCTGTAAGCTTAGCATCAGGGGCAGAGACAGGAAGGTTCCCCAGGCTCCCTAGGCAAACTTCACTTCAGTGGGGCACCCTTCTCATGGCATGGGGAGGAGAGTGAGAGAAGCCACCTGATACCCTACACTGGCTACCAGCACACACTCTTTTGTATGCACTGATCTTACACACACACACACACACACACACACACACACACGAAAAGACTCTTCTTGCTCTCTCTGAAATTTCATCCTTTGTTGCCTTCTGAATATTTGAATAGTCACTATCCAGCGCAACAGACCTCTGCAAACTATAATAAGGCATCCCTCTCAGCTTGATCTTCCCAACTGATCTCATTAGCACGTGGATTACTCTGTTGAACTTAGCTTTTCCGTTGTGCCTCTTGACTTTTTTTTTTTGAGCGCCCAGAGTTGAGTATCATTTATGTATGATCCCAGGATGTTGCCATCATTCATTGCATGTGTTCAGCTAATGTTTTTCGAAGGCATGAACAAAAAGCAGCAACAGCATCATTCCGTAAGGGAAAAAGGAAGGACTCATCTGCAAATATAATTAAGCATAATTTCACCCACCATTTGGGTTTAATACAGCGTTAAGTACAGCAGTAATGGCAGATCTTCAATTGTTATGACATTATTTTGATCTGTATCAATGAGTCAGAATGAAATTCTCATCTTAACCTTATTCTAGAAGTAGAAATATTTTATATTACTAACAATATAAAGAATTTGATTCCCCATTTCCAATAGCATGATCAATTCATCACAATAATGAAATACCGAATCAAATCAAGTACTTACTTTCTTGAAACTATGTAGAAAAGAATTCTGAACTTGGATCATTATGTGAAGAGAATCAAACTCAGTAAGCAAGATATGCAAAGCCTTTTAGAAGTTTTTAGATTTCTCTTCATTATGTATGGGAATTTTCTGCAGCTTCTAATATGTATAAGCGTGCTGTGGGTCTCATGACTGCTGCTTCCATCTGTAGCTTGGTGAGTCAATGCTGCTAGCATGTAAAATGAGGCCTCTGCCCATTAAACAACTGAATATAAAATGTTTCCAGTCACCTTGTTTTCACAGCCCGGTCATTTCCAGTGGTTATTTCTATCTCTAGCCACCTGTTCTTTATGTCTTCAGTAGAAGTCTGGGCTTACGAGTTGACTTGTTCGTTACAGTAACCGTGTTCTTGTTTTCTCCAGTACACGGCTCTTCACTGTCATTGGTCTCTAGCACATCTTCACTCTACTCGACGGTAAGTGTGCTCTGGTTTTCTGTCTATGCCATGCACAGACGACCAGGTAAAGAGATGTTTATATAGTACTTATCTAGTAAAATAGGGCCATTCTGTGGTCTGCTCACATGTCTTTCAGTTGACTATGGTGTATTCATTATGATCAGTGAATAGGTATAAAACCATGCAATAAAATATTCTGGAGTGTGATACGGAGTTCTTAAACCATGCTTATGTCCCACCCTGGGCTGTGGATACCTTTTGTCTTTCTCTCTGATCCATGGCTAATAATTGTTTTATAACAGTCTCTTCAGTTATTATTTTTAAGTTTATTTTTGGAGAACATTGTGCCCATAGGACTTTAAAAAACCAGGTATGTGGTTTTGTCTTTGCTTATTTTCCTCCTAGGGAAAAAAAATACCTTCTGGAGAGTTTACTTCTTAAAATTATTTCTCAGGAGATGAATCCCAGTGTTTCAGCTAAGTGTGAGATTCTACAACTAATTATTACAAAAATGAGAATGTTTGTCCTTGAAGGTATACCCTTCTTTTTATAATGCCTGTTAGGAAATTACAAGGCAGGGAAGCTTCCTTTACAGAACTGTTAAAAGCAGGTAATGAGTCTCATCTAGCCTTAAGCTCCGTGAATAATCTTCACTTTTGTGTTGGAAGAGCATGAGAAGGTCACAGCGTTTGGTCTGCATTCAGCAACTAAGCTTCAAAGACAGAGATGACTCTTTTCACACTTTACCCTCATTTGTTTAACAGGTTCCGTTACATTTCATACATATGTACAATACACATCGCTCATCTTAAGCCCCCCCTTTCCATACGCTGCTCCCTCTCCTTTAAGTCCTGCTTCTACTTTTGCATATTATCTCGATTTGTTTCTTTAATTATTATGTTTACATATATACATACATATAAATATATAGCTTAAATAATACAGTATTTGCTTATGAGTTAACCTTGCTTACTCCCTGCTTTATATATGGCATTCAGGTTCAGACTGTCATTAGAGACATGGCTATTTTTCTTGCTTCTCATTTAAATGGTTAAAATCTCCAATACATTCATTCTAAGGAAGGTATCAGCAGCAGTGTTTAGGTAAATGTGCTGGATCAAGAAGTAAGGAATGTGAAAGTAATTTGAAAGAACATATAATAGAGATATGTTAAGACTTGGTGTTTCTCCTATTGGGCTGGTTTTTTAGATGTATCTTATGTATACTATTGAACTTTAGATTTCTATGTAAGAAGAAAGCTTGGAGCATCTTTATATCCTAGTACATGTCAGACAACTTGCCAAATATTTATGGACTGTTCCTAAAAGATCTGACTTCCATACCTAGGGGATCTTTGCAAGCTGGAAGTCACAGGCTCATTGTCATCAGCCCAAGTGTCATCTCTGGATGCTTGGAATGTGTGTGCTTGTTTTAAGATGCTCATTCACCTGTAAGGTCGTGGACTATCACCGAAAAATTTAAAAAGTCTGATTTCTGTTTTTTGTTTGATTGTTTTTGTTTGCTTTCAAAGGGCAGGCATAGTTACATGTTTAACTTCAGCACTTGAAGAGCAGAGGCAAACAAATCTTTGTGAGTTCGAGGCCAGACTGGTTTACAAAGCAAGTTCTGGGGCAGCTAGCTCTACATGGAGAGAGAGAGCCTGTCTCAATAATTACAATAAACATGGAAATATCCAGTGACACTAAGTTAAACCTCTCTGTATTTGCAGTCCTCTTTAGGTAATGACAAAAGCTCTCAGACAAGCCACAGCCTCTGCCACTTTCTCCCTCACATTGAAGCTGTTTGCGTTGCTGGCTGTCATTATATTACTTAATAGTTATATCTGCTAAAATAAGAAAACAAAGAGTATCCTAGAGGGCTATGTGATTATCAATTTTTAATACTTAGATTCTTTTAATTTTTATATGCATGATCCTGTTGAGATTTTATATTATTGATCCCAATAGTTGAATTTTTCGTTGACAAAATAATAAATTTACACTGATTCCATTCTGTGTATATATTTTTATTATGGCTGATATCATGGGAAGAAGGTCCATGCTTCATCTTTCTGCATGTCCTTCACAAACTATTAAATACAAGGACAATGCCAAGAAGTGACTTTTAATACTAACTTAAATGGCTTGAGAAATGCAGAAATCAATTGATATTTTCATTTAGGCTGTTTACTCTCCTTCAGCATGTTAGTCTTGATTCAAAAACCTCACTAAAAAGATCCCATTTCTAAGCCACTGAGTGAAATAGAATATTCTTTTTGTCTCATTGCTCCATTTTTATGTTAATAGGTATTACTGGTAAAAATAAGCATGGAAATATATGAAAGAAGGCAAGGATTAAAGGCAATAGTCTTGAAAACTCAGCTATGAGAAAAATCATGCCACATAACACATTAATATATAACTAACACCTGTAGCTGAGGGTTATTTTAATGAAAACATGATGTTATGATGATTATATTTTGGCCCATCCAAATAAAGTAGATCTCTTTTAGAAACTCATTAATTATTTATCGAGTCTTTATAATTTTAATGTCATCTGAACAAGTTTAAAGTCAGAATATGACTGGAATAAACTGATAATAAATGTACAAATTATTAGGAAGTCAAAGAAAATTGTGAATCAAGCTTAATCAAGTAACTGACTTAATTTTAATAGTCTTTGTTTATGCTGCAGATATACACACCAAACTACATATAAGAACATGAAATTACTAGAATTTTTAAAAAACCAGAAATCTTCAATTAAACTACTAAAAATGAGATGTAAAATGAAAAAGATAAATGTCAACATAGCTTCGTAGAAAACAAAAGGTTTTTTTTTCTTTGTTTGTCTGTTTTTTTTATGGAGAAAAATACTTCATAGTTAGCTCCTTGTAAATAACCCTAATATACATCCTGACACTTTTCAAAGGTAGGAAAAAAAAAAGAAACATGAAATTCAGATTAAAAGAAACATTTGTCAATAAATTATACCTGGATAGTTATGTTATCTGCATGTGTTATTCCCATGATATTATATAAATCTTTACCCAAGACAGGCCAAACTTTATTTTTTGTTGTATATATTATGAATATGACAAATGGAGTTGAGAGGGGAAATCTGGCCACTATTGCTGGTAATAGAAAGCACACACACACACAGAGGGGGAGAGAGAGAGAGAGAGAGAGAGAGAGAGAGAGATTCCCTTCTGGAAGAAAAACAGCAAAACCAAATCAGACGTTTTTGTAGCGATTAATCATAACTGCCTCCAAAGCAACAACAGGAGACAAGACTGTTTCTCAGCCTTTCTCTGCAAATGGCAATGGGCAGAGTTGTTTTGTTCAGCAATATTGCACATTCTCCAGTTCTTTCCAGATTGCTGCAGCTTCCCCAATGTAATGGTGCACATAACTCATTTTCTGGCATCATATAGCCCAGCATGTAGATGGAAAAAAAAAGACCTAGGAGTTTCCTGTATAGATATGTGAAACACCCTGCCATTTTGTACAGCGATTCTCATTTCCATAAGCTACGCAGCCAATGTTATTTGGCTGTCTCTTTTATTACCACCTTAAAACTAAGTGCTGTGCTGTTTGGGTGACATGCCTACCAATACGCTTAGTAATCATTAAGGAAAATGAGAGGAAATAGGAATTAGTAACCTCTGCTTTCTATTTCCAACAATAATGGCCAGACTTTCCCTCTCAACTCCACTTGTCATTTTCATAATATATACAACAAAAAATAAAGTTCTGCCTATGTCTTGGCTAATGATTTATATAATGTCATGGGATCTGAGATATATGTGTGTGTATAACATTTTATGTTGCCATGCACCCATATATTTAGAGTATAAGCTTATAATAACTTGTGTTTATTTTTTATGGTCCCTGTAGATCTTAAAATTTTCAATGTCTTAAGGTGTGTTATATATCTATTAGCTGTAGTTTTCATATATAAATATCCAATTGTGTCATATATAAATATCCATTTTGATCCCATAGTATACTGTCTTGTTATGTTAGTTAAACAGTCTTGTAGTTTACTTTTTAGACCATGCAAGCTGTAAATGCTTCTTTTTTTCATAGTTCTTTTTTTTAATTAATTACACTTTATTCACTTTGTATCCCTCCTGTAGCTCCCTACCTCCTTCTTTCCCAATCCCTCCCTTCTTGCCCTTTTCCACGTATGCCCCTACCCAAGTCCACTGATAGGGGAGGTCTTCTTTTCCTTCCTTCTGGTCCTAATTTATTAAGTCTCATCAGGAGTAGCTGCATTGTCTTCTTCTATGGCCTGGTAAGGCTGTTCCCCCCTTCAGGGAGAGGTGATCAAAGAGCAGGCCAATCAGTTCATGTCAGAGACAGTCCCTGTTCCCATTACTATGGGACACACTTGGACAATGAGCTGCCATGGGCTACATCTGTGCAGGGGTTCTAGGTTATCTCCATGCATGGTACTTGATTGGAATATCAGTCTCAGGAAAGACCCCTGTGCTCAGATTTTTTGGTTCTGTTGCTCTCCTTGTGGAGCTCCTGTCCTCTCCAGATCTTATTATTTCCCACTTCATTCATAAGAATCCCAGCACTCTGCCCAAAGGTTGGCCATAAGTCTCAGCATCTGCTTTGATAGTCTGCAGGGCAGAGCCTTTCAGAGGCCCTCTGTGGCAGGCTTCTGACTCATTAATACATATAGAATAAGTTAGTCTTATTTGCATAATTAACATATGTCTATCTTTTTTTTCTTTTTTCTTTTTTTTTTTTACAGGCTGAAGAAAAGGCTCATTCAGAGGTAAAAATCTGTATCATTTTAATCTTTGAAAACCGGCCTTATTTTAGGATGAAATCTGTCTTATTGCCACTAGAGGGTGCTTGATGCACTGGCATAACTACAGGACTTCTGGTAGAAATAAATCCGTGGCCTAGGCATTGCTTCAGACAGAACGTGAAAGGAAGTCTTTGCAGCAAGCTTTCCTCTCATATTTTGCCCTAGTCTTAGCTCAACATCTAATAAGTTATCTGTCGTAGCTGCCACTCATTCACTGATTAGTGAATCGGGTATTAAAGTAGTAAATCCATACATTCATTTCACGGTGTTCGTCTCATGGCCTGAGAGGCACTATTTAGGATTAATGAAGCTGTAGAATCTAACTCACAAGGTCTTTTCCAAACAGGTACCATAATCCCTGCCTATCTAGTTGTGGCATGAAGAGTGTGAGTTATTTTTGTATATTTATGAAGATGCATTTCACAAACACATGCTTGCAATCATGTACAAAGTTAACCATCTACTTGGAGAGGAAATTCTTTACCTTTGTAAAAAACACATCCTGGCTTAAGAGTATAAGGGGACCTTAAACTTTATTCACAGAGGCTGAAGAGATGGCTGAGCAGTTAATGTGTACTGCTCTTGCAAAAGATCCAGGCACACGTGTCTAGTGACTCACAAACACCTGTAGCTCTGGCTCTAAGGGATGTGGCACGTTCACATGCACGCACATGGACACACATGCAAGCGCATGACTTAAAAGCAAATCTTAACAAAGTTAAAGTAATGAAGTAGTACTAAAGTAACTTTATGAGGAACTGTCTCCAAAGCATTGTGAAGATTGAGAACCACTATTTTAGAGTAAAATTTCTTCTATATATGTACAAAACTCATGGAGAGTATCGATGACACACAATTCTTTTATCTGAAACTATATTTTTTTACATCACATAAATCTGACAAAGCTTTGAGTTTTGGTCATGAAACAGCTACTGAAATTTGGAAATGCAGAAACATTGGCTTGCCTTAACATTAACTATCCAATTGTCCTCTCATCATTTCTGCTCATAGGAGGTCACCAGCTTTGAAATAATTTATAGTTTTCTGGGTTATAAGGTACAGGAAATAGAATTTTATAATAAAGGCATAAATAGAGAAGGCCTCTTTTAGCTTGCTTTGGTCTAGAAGCTAAAATACGCTTTGTTTTCTAAAATTAAATAATCCAGTATTGTTATAGGAGAGTAGCACACCTATTCATTGGGAGTGAGGTGGATTTTCTTTTTTAAAGTAGAACTAACAGTGAAATTGTTACTTAGCGAAATTCTATAGGGTAGAGCCCATGTTGATTTCCCCTTCTCAGTGTTGGGAGCTTGAATGGACTGAACCAGTGCAGGCTCTGTGCCTGCTGCCGCCATCTCTGAGTTCATATGTGTGTCTCGAAGACATTTTTCTTTTAAGTCATCTATCACCTCTGGCTCTGAAAACCTTTCTGCCTCCTGTTCTGCTTAGATCACTGAACCTTGAGAGGAGAAGTTTGACAAAAACAACTATTTAGAACCAAGTGCTCATAAGTCTTTCATTCTCTGGATATTTTCCAGTTGCAGGTCTCATGATAATTCTCATCTACTACCAGAAGCTTCTCTTATGAGAGTTGAGTGAAGAACTGATATATGAGTGTAGCAATCTGTCACTAATGACCATTTTGTTGGCATGATTCTTTTGTGGACTCATAGGCCCTGGGCCCATGGTCTACCTAGTCACAGTTTCTTGGCAGTTTTAGCAGTGTCAGATATGGCTTCCATCTCATTGAGTGGGCCCAGAATCCAATTTTTAAAAGTGGTTGGTTATTCCCATAAAATTTGTGCCACTATTTCGTTAGTGTATCTTTCAGGGACATCACTGTTATAGGTCACAAGATATGTATACATTCTTATAATTTCTACACTTCAGAACCTGAGGCAGGAGAATGAAAAGTTTGAGCACAGATTGGACTACATGATAATATCCTGTCTCAAAAAGAAAAAAAATACATATATTTTCAAATATGGACTCATTAAGTATTTAAAGACAGGTTTTGCATATTATAAGATACTCTATACTTTTTAAAAATCTTATAAAATGTAGAAAACTAAAATGCATTCAGTAAACATCTCAGGTTTTCAAAAAAGTTGTATGGCAAATCATTTACATTTTAAAAAATCAAGAAAAAATATGTAAATGGTATATATGGATTTTTAAAGATTATTTTATGCTTGAGTTTTTATCAAAATAAAGTTGTAGAAGAGCAAACTCCATAAGGACGGTGAACTATTTCATGAGTCAGGCAGGACTTAGAGCAGAGGCAATTGTATAATTTGGTGAGCATATTCAAGCCCCGATTATGGCAGCTAAAACTTCATTCCCCTCTTCGTAAGTAGCATTTGAGAGCTGCAGTGTAGCTATTAATCACCTCTCTGAAAGGCGCTGTTAGTGATTCGTCTGTTGCTACTCCCCTTGCTCTCTTGTACTAAAGGCTGAGTGTTAATGGGTCATTTCGTATATTGTACTTTTCACTCACACAGCAAATCCATAAGTTACGGAGAGAGCTGGTTGCATCCCAGGAGAAGGTTGCTACCCTCACGTCTCAGCTGTCTGCAAATGTAAGTTGCCTTTTCTTGCTGGAAGATATCAGAACAGACTTTTACATAGTTAGAGGGACTGGCTTCATCAACAAAGGTTAAGTGTCCACAGTTATGCAATGTAAGGTTCTGTAAAGTAAAACTCACATGAAATTGAAGTGTTCTGCCCACTTACTATTAAAATATACATCCAACTGGTAAGTGACAACACGGTGAAACAAAACAAAACAAGTTGGTTTTTTTTATGTCAGAAAATTACATACTGCAATAATGATTATAAATGTTACCTCTTTTCTCGTGTCTTACTTTTGTCCCTCTACATGCAGGATTTTTTTCTCAAGCCAAAAACATAGTAAGGGCTGTGAGGATTTGACTCTGGAAGACAACGTATTTTGGGTCCTGTCCCCTTCAGCAATTAATGAAGCATACAATAAAATGTAAAATAAAAAGAAAATCTGAATCTAAATATGATAGCTTAGCTCCACTGAATGTGAAATACAACTCTCTCAAAATGCCACGGCTGCCTTCTTAGACCAGTTTAGAAGAATCCACATTTGCAGGCATTAGAGCAGCTTCTGTTTGTGAAAACTGCGACAATGGAGACTACCAATCTTATTAACTTTCCGATCGAATGTATTTCTACACTCTCAGGAGGACTCAGAGTTGATGGACTATATAACACAGGAGAGCATGGGGCATTGTGCTCATTCCTAAGAAATAAGAGTGTGAGAAGCCATAGCAGGGGGTGAGGAAGCTCCTGCTAGGCTGCCATATGCCCTCTGTAGTCTTAGCTCTGTCCTCCCGCTATATGGTTTTGGGTTTCTCCCGCTCTCACCATTGTTGCCTCTCCATAGACATTTTTTTTTCTCCTACACAAAGCATGACATATCAAAAATGAACAGGTGCAGGGCCATAGTGTATGACATTGTAATAGAAATCCACAGGAAATAAGTCATTTCACTCACAGTGAATTAATTTTAGCTCTGTGGCTGAGGTGACATTTTTTTTTTTTTTAGTTTTTAGTTTTTGGGGTTTTTTTGTTTTGTTTTTACAATTTATTCACTCTATATCCCGATAGTAGACCCCTCCGTCATCTCCTCTGGTTCCACCTTCCCTCCCTCTTCCCCACTCCCATCCATTGAAAGAGGAGTCCTCCTCCTCTGTCATCTGACCTGGATCTATGGCCTGTCTATTTTCCTCTATGTCCTGTCAAGGCCTCATGCCAGGAGGAAGTGATCAAAGAGAAGGCAACCGAGTTCATGTCAGAGATAACCCCTGCTCCTCATACGAGGAAACCCACATGAAGACTGAACTGGGCTACATCTGAGGAGGGGACAAGGTCCTCTCCATTCATGGTCCTTGGTTGGTGCATCAGTCTCTGCAAGTCCCCCTGTGCCCAGATTTTTTTTTGGCTTTGTTGGTCTCCTTGTGGTCTCCTATTGCCTTTAGGTCCTTCTATCCCCCTAGCTCCTTCTATCTCCCCACTCTTCCATAAGACTCCCTGCCCTCTGCCCAAAGTTTGGTTGTGAGTCTCTGCATCTGCTTCGATCCCCTGTTGGGTGGAGCCTTTCAGAGGACCTCTATAGAAGGCCCCCATCCTGTTGAAATTATGCTTTAACTCCAGGGGAATAATATTAACTTGAGATGGGTTATTATTGTTCATAAAGCTTGTTAGGAGATACCCAATAATAAGAACAGATTTTTTTGAACCTTGCTAGAAAATAGCATTTTTTGCCCACTGTTGTTATCTAAGTTGAAATATTAAAAAGATGGTTCTGAGGCAGCTGTCAACTTTATGCCATTATATCTACAGTTCTGTAAAACTGCTGAGTTTCTGAATTTGAACCCAGAGGACAAGGATCAGTATAAAAGCCATAAACGCATTGGATTGAATTTATGTGCAATGAGAAGGTCTTACCAACGTGCTCATCCATGATCACTTTTTGTTGTGTGTTTGAGCTGTTGTCGTATGTTTGTCTGCTTTTGTGATACTTGGGATTGGATATGCCAGGTAAGCATTCCATCACCTGAGCTACATCCAGTCCTAGGGGTTTGGCTTGTTTGGTTGTTGTTGTTTTGTCTCTCAGCTTTTATTCATATGTAAAGACGGGTCTTTTTATTAAAAGTCATATAGTCTTTCAGCTGAACTCCTAGCTGCATTAGTTTTTAAGTATTAACTTATTCAGACTGTAAGTAAACTTGTGTTTGGTTAAACGTGTGATCTCCACAAGAAAAATTGTTATATGGAAGTGTAGTAGGTATACTTTATAAGGACAGATTTTTGATGAGTAGTTTTCAGGCTAGTAATCTTTTAAGGAACATTAGTCTTAATGTTAATCTCTGAGCAACTGTATCAGATCCTAATGCTTCCACTTGATTAACTACCTTTTTGTGATTTACGTGTTCCATGCTAGGGCTTGACATTAATAAATCTGTTTCAACTTGTTCTATCACTGCTCAGTAGAGCAGAGTGATAAAGGAGGAAGACATCATGTGGGCAGTCTTTTCATTTGACTAGCATAATAAAGTCCCAGTCCGGGCAGCGCACAGTAGTCCTTTCCTCCTTACAGATTTGCTCTGAAAAGAGTCGCATTAACCGACAAGGGATGGTATAGGAAGCTTATTCTGCTAGTGCATCTCAGAAAAGGCAGAGGTCGTAACGGCAAATGGCCTCCTCTGAGTCCTTGTCCCTCCAGCAAATAACAGAAAGCAAAGCAAGATCGGCACCAGCTCAGCGTTAATACACAATATCCCATGGAAAAGTCAGATCGCCCTGGCCCTCTCTCCCACATATCCACGCAGCCTCGGCAGGTGGATTGTGTGCTTCTTTTCTCTCTGTGTGTTTTCTTTTGGGGAGTTGACAAGTCTTGGCCCTTGGATAATTTAAAATGTGAACCAAGCCTGCTATCACTGTCATTTTTCAAAGGCACTACCAAATGAGTATATAGCAAGACAAACGGCAATTATGCCTTTAGGAAATAAATCTTTTTTAACTAAAAATCTCTTCGCTACAATATTTTCTGAGCATGTGCTCCATTTCTTTCTTGTATTTTTATATATAATACAGCTGTTTCTCTTGCTCTACTCTCAATTTCCCATGGATAATCTTTACGTGTTAATGGTAAAAACAGTGTTGAGAAATTCTGTACAGTACCAAAGAAAATACAGTTCCTTATGTATGTTTAAGAATAGAACTCACATCAACTCTGCTTCTCAAATGCATATCCTTAAATAGATAATGCATTATACATATTTACATATATATAATGAACTATTATTTCATTCTATGTCAATATATGCAATGTAGTCATTATGGATAATAGCATTTCATCTTGCTGTTAAAAAAAAATCACAGTCATTTTCTTTGTGTGTATCACATTATATAGTGTAATTCCATGACCATTATGAAAAATATCTCTTCCTAACTAGCAGTTAGGTTTCCCTGTTTTAGTGCCCAGTCAGCCTTCTTCTCACATCACACAGTACTAATCTCATATTAATCCTTTCCACTCTATTTTGGAAAATATGAGCTGCTAAAAAGAGTGACAACCTAGTAAACTTTGCTGTCACCCTGAAAATCATAATTTTTAATAGTCAAGGGGTTTCACATACAATGCAATAAAAATAATCATTGATAAAAAAATTATCCTTCTTTATCTCTTTGTTCTTCTGTAATTCTGTGCATTTAGTGAGAAATTTAACTTTCATTACTTCTGAAGTAATAAAGTTAATCTGATAAACTAAGCCAAGAAGCCATAAATATAAAATGATAGCTATCTAATAAAATTTTAACATACTTTCCATTGAAGATAATGGAAATTAATGGAAAATAATGTCAAAATTATATTTAACAACCAATTATTAGGCCTTTATGAAAAATTAATACACAGCAAGCTTACAAAGATTAGACAATTTTATTTGTCTTAGCTACTCTTTCTATTGCCTCAATGAAATACCAAAAAGGAAGTTGGGGAGTAAACAGTTTATTTGGTTTGCACTTCCATTTTGCTGTTCATCTTTGAAGGAAATCAGGACAGGAACTCAAACAGGGCAGGAACCTGGAGGCAGGAGGTAATGCAGAAGCCATGAAGGGATGCTGCTTACTGGCTTGCTTCCCATGGCTTGTTGAGCCTGCTTTCTTGTTAAACCTAGGACCAACAGCCTAGGAATGACACCACCCATAATGGATTGAACTCCTCCAATCAGTCACTAATTAAGAAAATACCCTAAGGATCTGCTATCATCCAGATCTTATGGAGGCATTTTCCTAATTGAGGTTCCCTCCTTTCAGATGACTCTAGTTTGTGTCGAGTTGACATAAACTAGCCAGCACAATATTCTAATGTAAACTATTTTATCATTTTCGTTAATATAAGATATAGATATAGTTGATGCATATAATCTATTCTTTATAATCCTAATATTTTCATATTTTAAATTCTTAGTAAATAGACTAAATATATACAAATTACAATTTTCTTCAAATGTATGCATCAAAGGCCCTACTGCCCAATAATTAAACAATTGCTTTCTTTTTGAGAAGTAAAATATCACAGTATTCAGGATTATTTTATGTGTCAAATAAGAAACCTTTTCTTCCAGAGTGTTCCCTATTTGGGGTGAGAGACAAGCTTAGTTTTAGGATTTGGTGCCTTGTTTGTGGGGATAGTGTTGTTATTTTAAAAGACAAAGCTGCAATCAATAAATCATGGGCAAATTGTAAATTCAGAGAGAAGAATGGTTTACTTCAAAAGTATTATTAAAAAGAAGAAAAAGTCATGAAGATTATATGCTAATACCTGGATACTTTGTAAAATTGCTCAAATTAAAACCTAGTGCTTGAGAATGCAACTTATATGTGAGAAGTATCAATAAAGCAGAAAATGTAAGACGTATCAATAATATAATATAGGAGTGACCTATAATGTTTAGCAGGAAAGAAAAGGTCCCAGTATCTGAGTAAAAGAATAAAAAGTATTCATGGAGGTCTGAAGTTTGAACAGTATTCTCTGCAAATTGTTTTCTCCCTACTGTCCTATCTGTGAAGAGCAGCTCATGATGAGCCTCAGGAGCAAAGTTGCCTGTGCTAATTATGGAATAAACCATCAGAACACTGATCCTTATGGGAATTTTTGTTAGCCATTTGATAGGAGGTGTCTCAGCCTTTTGGCTCTGCTACAGAAAAAAAAAAAGTGTTAGGGTCCCAACACACCCTTTCTTCAGGAAAAAAAAAATCAAGCTTTTGCCAAAATTGAGGAGATTCTACCCAGCTCTAGCTTGCCATATGCTGAGCTTAGAAAATAGCCAATCTTTAGATCCCTTTAGGACCACAATAAATTCTATCATTTTTAAATAGTACACATGGAGTTGTTCCTGAAGTCATGGGGATGAGTGGGCCACCTGTTTATGCTTAGTATTTGCACCTCACGCTGCTGAATAATGGTATCTCAGGAAGAAATGGCCTCATTTGCAGCTGTCCTAGCAAGCAGTCCTAATCATGAGTGTGATGTTTATTTATTACAATATGTGTAATTCTCTAAAATTTAAAATAAAAGCTGTACATCTAAAGAAACTAAGCAAGAAGGATGACTCTGGGTAAGATGATCAATCCTCACTCAAAAAGGCAAATGCAACAAACATTGGAAGAGAGAGGAAAGAGGAAACAGGACAGGAGCCTACCACAGAGGGCCTCTGAAAGACTCTACCCAGCAGGGTATCAAAGCGGATGCTGAGACTCATAGCCAAACTTTGGGCAAAGTACAGGGAATCTTATGAAAGAAGGGGGATAATAGAAAGACCTGCATGGAACAGGAGTTCCACAAAGAAAGCAACAGAACTAAAATATCTAGGCCTAGGGGTCTTTTCTCAGACTGAAACTCCAACCTAGGACCATTCATGGAGATAACCTAGAACCTCTGTACAGATGTAGCCCATGACAGCTCAGTGTCCAAGTGGGTTCCCTAGTAAAGGGAACAGGGACTGTCTGACATGAACTCAGTGGCTGTCTCTTTGATCACCTCCTCCTGAAGGCGGAGCATCCTTGCCAGGCCACAGAGGAAGACAATGCAGCCAGTCCTGATGAGACCTGATAGGTTGGGGTCAGAGGGAAGGGAATGAGGACCTTCCCTATCAGTGGACTTGGAAAGGGTTATGGGAGGAGAAGAGGGAGGGAGGATGGGATTGGGAAGGAATGAGGAAGGGGGCCACAGCTGGGATACAAAGTGAAGAAACAGTAAAAAAAAAAAAAATAAAGAAATCAAGAGAAATAAAGAAAGAAAAGAAAAAAAAGAAGAAAAGAAAAAATAAAACTGCAAAACCATCAAAGCTTAATGTTAAATTTGACCATATGATTATTTATTTCTGCCTGGCCTAGCTCTATTTCTTTAAGGGGATCAAAGTAGGGGGAAAGACCCTTTTATTATCAGAGATTTGAAAGTGAAGACAATTCTTTGCCATTATGTTCTTTGCAAGTAGAAAAAGAGAAAAGATAATGTTCTAACTGTCAGCAGATGTCTGACACTTGAAGGAGAATGTCCACACAATAGAAGAGCTAACAATATCTTCAAAGGTCATCATAGAAGTCAAAAAATGAGAAACATTTGTCCACTGACTATCTCAATGACCTCCTTTTGGGCCTTCTTTCTAAAAACTTGGCAGCTGGGAAATTTGTATGGTATTTTGGGTGTCAGATCGCTGCATGATGTGCAAGTCAGAAGGTGTTGTTATTTGCAAAATACCATCCCATTTTGGAAGGCGAGTTCACATTAAATGTCAAAAGACTGAAGCACTGATTTTGGGAACCAAAGTTTAAAAGTGGAAAATAAAGATATGTGTTAAAGGAGTATCACCACCAAGAACTAACTGTGAAAGTCACAATACATAGTTGGAACACCTAAAATTAAACATTTTGTAAAACGAAGTGACTTTATCTTATCTAAATGAGATTCTGACATTTTAACTATTTTCTTCTGTTTTGTTCACAGGCTCACCTTGTAGCAGCTTTTGAAAAGAGTTTAGGAAATATGACTGGCCGGTTGCAAAGTCTAACCATGACAGCGGAACAAAAGGTATGTCCAGTAATTGCCACTGAGGCTTGAAAGGAGAAAGTACACTTCAGAGAACGCTAAACAACAGCTAGATCTTACTGTTTTAAAAACAGTACTAAAGGGCATCCCTTCGTTGCTAAACTGAAACTATGAGTAGATGGTACCTTTTATTTTCCAGTTTTAATTTAAAGATGTGACCAGATCGTTCATATTGGAACACACGGGCAAAAATACACACAAAGTTCTGCCATATAGGCCTGATTATTTACTTCTAATTATTAAACAATGCTGAGAGGAAGCTTTATATAGGAGAATTCAAGTATTCTCAAATTGTTATATAGTTAACAAGAAATGTGCTTTAGGAGAATTTTCACAACTGTATGGTCTGTGAAAAATAAGCAAAATATTATGATTGCATCACATGCATTGAGACAATCCAGAAATGTTACCTTCCTGCATGATTCTTTTTTTCCTTATAAAAAATATGAAAGAAGGGGGACATAGAAAGATCTGAAAGGGTCAGGACCTCCACAAGGAGAGCAACAGAACCAAAATATCTGGGCACAGGGGTCCTTTCTGAGAGTGATACTCCAACCAAGGACCATTCATGGAAATAACCTAGAAACCCCCTGCTGAGATGTAGCCCATGGCAGCTCAGCGTCCAAGTGGGTTCCCTAGTAAAGGGAACAGGGGCTGTTTCCGACATGAACTTAGTGGCTGGCTCTTTGATCACCTTCCCCTGACCCTGACGGGGGAGCAGCCTTGCCAGGCCAGAGAGGAAGGCAATGCAGCCAGTCCTGATGAGACCTGATAGGTTGGGGTCAGAGGGAAGGGAATGAGGACCTCCCCTATCGGTGGACTGTGGGAGGGGCATGTGAGGAGGTGAGGGAGGGAGGATGAGATTGGGAGAGGACAAGGGAGAGGACTACAGCTGGAATAAAAAGTGAATAAACTGTAATTAATTAAAAAAATAAATAAATTTTAAAGAAGAGTTGATCCACTAGGAAAAAAAAAATTCTAAAGGGGCTGGGAGCTTGTTGGTTAAAGCTTTCGCCAGGCAAATGTGAGATACAGAGTAAAGATCCCTCAGAACCCAAAGTAAAAGCCAAATGAGCATGAAGCCCTACTTAAAATACTGCAAAACTTATAAAATTGTAGGAGGTTAGATTGGGCACAAATAGGTAATTCCAAAAGCATGTTGAGTAGGCAAACTAGATCCAGTTCCTCCAGAAACCATAAATTCATAAGGTGACGAACAGTCAAGAAAGATAACCACTATCAACTTCAAACTTACTACGCACAAGCGTGTGCACACATGCACAGACACGCACACCATGCACAAATGGATGTGCAAAGGTGAGCAAAGAAAGAACATAGAGTAATTCATACCCAGCTTATGTTAGGAATACTTCTGGAAGTGATGGTTAGCATTCACTGTGATATATTTAAGAAATCAAAATGAATAATCACTCTTGACGATGCCTTCATATGTCCTCCAACTCTTTTATATTTGTGAAAGAAGAATTTTCCATAGGATTATGTAAGATACACAAGTATGTTAACTTATCATATCTGGGGATAATCTATAAATATTCTAAATATAAATCTTTATGATAAGAACTTTTGTCATTTTGTACATAGTATCCTTAAAATAACATCAGCAAAATAATTTCAATTGCCCAGAAGTATCATGATGAAATTACCTTTAATACTTTTATCTAAACATAAAATTATTCTTCTTCAGTTTAGAACTATACAGAGAATGTTGGTAACTATTTATGCACCTCAATTTTGTGGATTAACATTTTCTTTTGAAAAGATCTATAAAATGATTTGCATAATACAGTGACAGCAACTGATTTAAACCAGCAGATGAATGTATAAAACAAGATTCTTGAACCATATGGCCCAGCCACAAATCCCTAGGCTGAACCAGCTTTCAAAAGAACTGAGGGGACAAAGAGAGATTTCTTGGTGGGTTTTGTTTCATTGTCTGACCAAAAGAGTATAATTTAGATCGAACAGACTAACATCTTGGCCAGGGATTTAAGGATAAATGTATCACAAGGGTTCTTAAATTGGGGTCATGAAATAACAAAAGACAAAAATGCATTGTTCACTTAGACATTTTTCTAAAAGCTGAGGGCATAACATTTAATCATATTTCAGGAAAGGCATTTCTTCAGGGAACTAAGATAAAAAGGGTATATTGCTCTCTGGTGATCCAACAACCCTTAGAAAAAGACTCAAAAAAGAGCTCTGTTTTTAATCTCAGTTCCTATAGTTCCAAGGTTCATTTGCTTAGTCATTCACCAAATTTATATTGAACTTCTATGGGACCAGAAGAAAGAATATGGAATAAAATAGGTAAATGGATTATTTGCCTATCTCTATCTGTAAAGATATATTTATCTGCTAGAATAAAAAACTCCAGAAAGGCCATGTATATTTCTCATAAGTTAGGCTATGAATAGTATTTTTTCTGATTTTTTTCATTGCTTTTATATAAAATACTCATACATAAAAATGCTCATGTAGGCATAAGATCTGCATTGGTTTTAATAGCCATCATATGTGTGTGTGTTTATAAATGCATATACTCTAACTGAAATTTTTATTCTGATACGTAACAGATGACGATAAAAAAGTAAAACATCAGAGTCGGCATAATATTAAATGCCACTGAACAAACTCCAACTGAGAGTGAGATCATTGAAAAACAAGAATGGAAGTTCCACATGAAGAACCAAAGACCAAGATGGCTTCATGTTCTTGGTTGCACACTTGAGAAGTAGAGAAACTAAACAATTATCCGAACCATGTTCTAGCTTTACAGGATACTTTTAGAAATCACATGTTATTTCTACGTAGATACATTATTTCAATTTATTCACCAAAATAACTCTCTTGAATAGTATCCAAATATTTTTCTTGCTTTCAGATACCAAATAACTGATTCTTTTTGCCAAAATGTTCATGCCAGAAGAACAGAATACTGTTATTATATCTGTGCAGCCCAGAAAGCTGAAAAAGCATGCATGAATAACTCGGGAGGCAGAAGACTATAGCTCTATCAGAGTCCTACAAAGCCATGAGCATTTTCAGAGGGTTCAAACGAGGCCATTTGAGCTCCTCAGGTTATGGAGGATGAAGAAGATTTATTCAGGGGAAATACTTGGGAGTATTTCATGAAGGCAAAACAGACTAAGCATAAGTAACCAAAAGAATGATGAGAGGTATCATTGTGAAATCTTGCTCAAATTTGATAATATAATGCATACTAATATTTAGGAATTTAAAATTCAAGAGATGCTCAAATTAGTTGCCTGAAGACATTGAGCTCAGACAAAGAGAAAATGAGTCCTAAAGTATGCTAGACTAGTCTCGTTAGAAGGTTTTTGAGGTATAGAGAACCATCTTCCAAGAATGATGAGTTTCATGTGTGCTAACTGTAAAGCCATTCTTACCTCTGTGAAGAACACAGGTGAACATGAACTTAAATCTTGGAAAAGAGGACATTCAATGTGAAACGCTGGGATGCAACACAGAAAACTATAAGTAGTTTGCTTTGTCTCTACATATTTTATGTCCAGACATTTCCCATCTAGAGGTGTTTGCAAAAACATATTTCTAGAGTCAGATAATATACCTTTTAATGTTTTACAGCATAAGATGAAGATGAATCTTTAATTTTAAAAATATAAAAACATTTGGTAAAGCACTTTTATTTGAATTTTTTTAAAAAGTAGTAAGTTTTCAAGGCAAATGCATAGTAGGCTGGGGAGAGAGAACCACTTTCAAAGATACCACAGTTAACCACTGTGAGATTAATAGAGTGGCATTATAGGAATTAAAGACATATTTAGTGTAAAACTGAAGAGCCTCGCCTAGCAGGTTCAGTTGTTTCACAAGATTTGTTGTCAAGCTTGTAGAACTTATAATGGAGAGAAATATAATGAGAAAATTTGAAAGCAGTCAAGTACAATGTGAAAATTAGGTTGAAAAAAAAAATCCAAAAGGATAGTATCAAGGAAACGTTTGATTATTTTGTTTTGAAGCATTTCTGATATAATACTTATAACTTGTAATACTTAAACTGAAAGACACATGGTAACTACCCAAAGAAATGTGAAACTAATCAAGATGACTTTATACACTAAAGCTAGAAAACACAGAAAAGTAGACTTTTTAAATTTAACTTTATTTTTTATAATTTATTCAATTTACATCCCGATTAAAGCACCCTCCTCTGGGTCCTACCCTTCCTCCCTCTTTCCCCCTATTGCCCTACACCATTTCTCAGAAAGGGCAAGCCCTCCTTCTCATCTGACTTCAGCCTATCAAGTCTCATTAGGACTGGCTGTATTCTCTTCCTCTGGGGCCTGGCAAGTCTGCACCCGGCCAGAGGGAGCTGATCAAAGAGGAAAGAGAGAGTGGGGAAATACACGGACCCAAAGTGGACAGGAGCTCCATAAGACCAACAAAGCCAATAAATCTGGGCTCCTGGAGGCCTTCAGGGACTGAATTATCAATCAAAGGCCATGCATTGAAGAGGACCTGGAAAAGCAGACTCTTACATGGTTGACAGGAGTCAGAGTTTCATCTCTTGAATTTATTATAGAAATTGAGGAGAGACAAAAGATCTGATTTCTTCATTCTCAAAAATCTTTGTGGAATTAGTTAGACCTGCTTTTTGTGTGTGTCTGAAGAGATGGGAGGACCTCTGAATGACTTCATTGCATGGCAGTCTAACCAGTTACTTATACGGCATAAACATTTCTTATCACAGACTTTCATGAATGCTTAGCAGATTCTCTACACTTAAGGATTTTCCGTTGACCATAACAAAATTGAGACTATCTAAAGATATTTCAGATTATTTGATGATTTTGTAGTCAGCAATCTCTGAACTCATTATTGATCATAGTCCTTGCACAAACCTCTCACCACGAGGCAATCAGTCAATTTCTTTCAAAAGGAATATAAGTATAGATTTGAAGGCAGCATTGTAATTTCAATGCATTACCAAAATATTAGAAAGATACAGCCTTAAAATTAATACAAACAACTAACTCTAATGACCCAAAATAATAAAGACAAGAATAATATTGTGAAATTTCCATACCCTAGTTAAGTATTTAAAATGGTTTATGTTTATTTCTTCCTACTTTCTTCCTACTGAGGAAGAAAGAAAGAGACTCCTGACTTCCTTGTTACCCAGTGTAGAGAGTTCTATTTACTTAACCATGCACAGGCTTCCTATCTATAACAGGCTGCCAAGGTTTTGATGTTTTTATGTGGCACCCTAGCTCCCTAGCTGAAGAACATCCTATTATACAACTAAAGATGTGAGGACTAAAGCTGAAGTTTTGTTCTTCAGAGAATACATCCAAGTGTAGACCAGAACTTTTCATAAAATCACTCCAACATGTGCTGAGTCATAAATCAACCAAAAAGAATGATTTCTCAACAACTAAAGGAGATATTAAACTGAATAATGTAAAAGGGACCTCTTCTATTTTTTTTTTTTTTCTGATAGGAAAAAAGTTCACCAAAATAGGGATATTTTACTTTGGCCTATAAGGGAAAGAGTGGCAAAAAATAAAAGTCATATGAAATTCTCAGAAAGGTCACAGTTGTAGCTCAAATGACAAAATGAGAGTGGGTTTTATTAACAGAACTTTTTGCAGATGTGGGGAATAATAAATATAGATTTGAACGGATTGTGTCAAACTGTGTGAAACTTAGCTATCAGTTTAAATAAAGTCCTAGAGAATATCTTACAGGCAGTTATTTATGGTTAGAAAGCTATCCCAAAGAACTACCAACATGAATTCTGCCAACCTAGATTTTTAAACAGATAGGAATTGTCACAAATTGCATAGTAGATGTATTTCTTACACAGTTATTCATCACTTGGTTTTACTAAGCCACAACAAATAACAATTAATCTACTCATATCTGTCATTTTCAAAGTAAAACATTTTTTACATTTTTTAAAATAAATTTTACAAAGTAATCATTTTTCCATGGTATATTAAGCATGCAGATCTCTGTGGATATTCCACTCTTAACCAATTTTACAAGAGTGACTTTTTAATAGGAAAAAATGGACATGTTGGTATACATCATTAATCCTGGCACTCTGGATCAGGGAAATCTCTGTGAGTTAAAGGCCAGCCTCATCTATAGAGATAGTTCCAGAAGAGCCAGAGTTACATAGAGAAATCCTTTCTCAAAAAAAAAAAAAAGTTTGTAGAAGGACTTCTCTAGAAGAGGTAAAGCTTTGACACTTAAATAACTCAGATGGCTCAAAATTAAACTCAATTACCAGACATTTGCATAAGATCTTATTTCCATTTCTTCTTGTAAAGCCAGAGCCAAATATTTTAGCAGATTTTTAAATCTTGCAGCATAAGCATCATTGATTCCAAAACCAAGGATGAAAGTCTGACTTTAATTAAAATTTAACACTCACCTAAGCACTGGTTATAAAATTAATTTTTAAATTATGTGAATCCATTTCCAGTAAATACTTTATCTCTCAGGAGTTTCAAGTGGAAACATTAAGTTTTACTAAAATTGCTTGTGCTAATTGGGCAAGGGACACAGAGTAGAAAATTGGGGAGACTGAGTAATTATGATGAACTGGTTGCAAATTGTCTGCAATGTGATGTTCTCTCTATGAAAATGCATGGTTAAAATGAGCTATCTGAAAAATCTATATATAAATTTAGCAGTCTCCTAATTTTCATTGTGAGGTTTTTATTTATAAATTGTTTAAAGTCCACAGAGTTTTTTTTATTTGTATTTTTTATTTTTTATTAATTACAGTTTATTCACTTTGTATCCCCCCATAGGCCCCTCCCTCCTCCCCTCCCAGCCCCACCCTCCCTCCCCCTTCTTCTCGCTTGCCCCTCCCAAGTCCACTGATAGGGGAGGTCTTTCTCTCATTCCTTCTGATCAGAAGGAGTTTATTTTTTTAAATCTGACCAGTATCTATCAGGAATATGTGAGATAGTCAAGAAAACAGACAGATGAAATACAGCATGATGCTGATTCCTATAATCCCAGTGCTTGGGAGGCTAAAGCGTGGTATTGTTGCCTGGGCAACAGAGTAAAACCCTTTCTCAGGAAGAAAAGGAAAGAGGGGAGAAACAAATATGAGGCACCATGTATGTATTTATTCTATTTCCCTCTGTCATTTCCAGCCATTGCAGTGTCAACCTAAGATTAGAAACATTACTAGATATTCCAATGTATGAAGCAACAAAATTTTCTGCAGTAAAATTGCTTAGCTTTATTGTAGGAGACACCAAGAATAGACCCTGACATTCTCTATAATTTAATATAACAGGACTTTGCGTTACATGTGTTTCTATTCACTGATGCATGAAAAAAATTATCAGAATCCTAAGGCGACTTTAATATGCCATCTGACCACATTAAGATGACATTTTAAAGAACTGAGTTTGGGATGACTGCCAAGATTTACACTTGAATACGGAGAATCAATTCCTATGGTACAAAGTGTTTCAGACAAAATCTGAAATAGAGGCTTACACAGGACAGTAAATCCAACATAATGTAATATTAAAATACTGATATTTAATATCTATTGTTAGCATTGGTAATGTTAAAATAAGAGATTATCTTGATTTGCTTTGAAGGAATAAGCTACATGCCTCTCTTTGAAAGGATTATGGACTATTGATATTACTTGTATAGAATAGGATTCTTATAATTTCTTCAGTAGCTAACAAAAATTTCAATACAATTTGACAAGGTCAGCCAACTATACAACTCCTTTAGGAGTTTAGGGCTACAGAATATCAAACCACTTGACAGCAAACTATGAACAAAACCCTTTTATTCTTTCTAAACATTAAAACTTTCAAACTCTGCTCATTCCACAGGAATCTGAACTTATAGAACTACGGGAAACCATTGAAATGCTGAAGGCCCAGAACTCTGCTGCCCAGGCTGCCATTCAGGGTGCTCTGAATGGCCCGGACCACCCTCCCAAAGGTATACTTAAAACTGTGTCTTGGGGAGGTCCTCCCCTATCAGTGGACTTGGAAAGGGGCAGGGAGGAGACCAGGGAGGGAGTGCGGGGTTGGGGAGGGAATGAGGGAGCGGGATACAGCTGGGACACAGAGTTAACAAAATGTAACTAAAAAGAAAAATAAAATTAAAAAAAATAGTCCATATGGAAAATGTTAAGTGAGAAAATGGCTGTGCTCTAGGCTACAATATTTATCTCTTGAAGCGCTTCTAATAAAGGGATGGAGAACTGAAAAAAAAAACAAAAACAAAACAAAACTGTGTCTTGTGTCATTCCGTGCAGTAGACATTGGTTTTATGCACTGGATACAGTAAAGAGTCACATATTCAGGATACTGCCTTGTATAGTAACTAGAGTTAATTTGTTTAGAATTCTAAAGTTTGTGAGCATTAGCTTTCATTATAAAGTGATTTTTAAATTATGAACCTCTATACTATCATACAAACTTTTTTTCTCCTCGATGTAGTTGATTGAATCTAGCAGGTTAATATGTGCATGTCTGACTCCAGCCAAATCAAGCCTAGCAATAAAATATGCTAATCAAGATCCAGTGTCCACTGGGAGTAAAGTCTGATGGATAAAATCAGTGAGAAGGTACATTTCCTGACTAGGAGTTTTAAAGTAGCCAAGAACAGATAAAAGGTTATCATTACCAAGCCTCTGTGAATCTTTGCTCCATCCCCATTCCTTGGTATGCCATGGAAGAAATGCTGATTGTTTTTTAGTTCTGTTTTCCTTACGTGTTTTATATTTTTTTATGTCCTGACTTATCAGTGGGTGCAAGTACATTCATTCTTCCTTCGATTTAAAATCCTGTCCTAAATCCCAGATGGCTTATCATCTATTCTCTCATTTCCAGATAAGTTTTGCGTACTTCAATTACTAATCACCCTTCAATCCACTGGATGACACTCCTATTCCCACCCTTCCACTAAAATTATCTGTCCAGAACCAACAGTAACTTGTAAGATACTTAATTCATAAAATATTTAAATTTCATGTATCAGAAGGATAATAGATTTGATGTTTAAACTCTCACAACTGAAATGCTAATTTTTGCTAATATTCATGCCGTCATTCATTCTTCTTTATAGAGCATGTTTTTAATCATTATGACATTTCATACATATGTGTCATTATATGTCTTGTTCTTATTTCCCCCACATACTGTTTTGTTCTGTCACCCTTCCTTCCCTCTTTCTTGTCTGCCATCTTTCTGGAAACTGTACCATCTTCTGCTTTCATGACCCATATGTTCTATTAATCTCCCTTGTTTTCACATCCTTGTGTTGGCCTTTTTATCCCTCTTACAATCACGATTTGCTTTCATGTCCTATGTAAACATTTAAATTTAAATCTATATTTGCATGAAAGAAAACATGGTATTTGTCTTTTGAGCTTGTCTTATTTCTCTTGGTATACTGATCTCCAGTTCTATACATTTTCCTATAAATGTAACAATTTTGTTTTAGTTTATGGCTAAGTTAAATTTCATTCATTAGCCACATGTTCCAGAATGTCTTTACCTATTGTCTGTTGGTGAAAAAATCTAGGCTAGCTTGAGTATCAGGATATCGCCACATAATCATGTCTGTGCAAATGTCTTTATGGAATGATGACTTAGAATCCTTCAGGCATTCTAGGAGTGGTGTAGCTGGGTTATATGGTAGTTCTAGTTTCAATAAGAAACTTCCATACTCGTTTCCATAGTAACCGTAGTAGTTACTATGGACTAATTATACCTTCCTATCACCCTTGCCAGCATTTGCTATTGATGATCTTGATGCTAGTTTTTCTGACTAGAGTTGGGTGGAATCTCAAAGCATTTTAATTTGTGTTTCCTGATGCCTAACAATATTGAACTTTATCAAATATTGATTGCCCATTTTTTCTTTTTCCTTTGAGAACTTTACACTTAATTTCTTAGCTTGCTTATTCATTGGGTGACTTCTATTTTGGTTTTTAACATTTAAAATTTTTTCTTTATTATGATTTATTATATGAGTGTGTTGCCTATCTATGTGATGTATGAGTGCCTCGTCTCTTCAGAAGCCAGAAGAGGGAATTTGGTCCCATGGACTGGTTGTTAGCTGCCATGTGGATACTGGGAATCAAACCTGGGTCCACTGAAAGAGCACCCAGGGATCTCCACAACCCAGTCATCTCTCATGCCTGATATTTAATTTTTGAAGTCCTGTGTACATTCTCCATATTTGTTTCCTGTTAGAAGCATAGTTGGAATAAAGCTCCCCTCCTCCCTTCTATAGGCTGTCTTTTCTTTGCCTGGTGGTTTCCTTTCTTGGACAGAAGCTGTTAAATAACATGTTAAGTATCCATTCATTCTTCTGTATCTATTTCTAATTATTGGCATCCTAAATTCTTCTCCATTGTGATTCTGAACTTTATGGTTTTATATGTTCTATCAGAAATTCTATGAACTCATGTACTGTTCTAGCTACACTTACTGCTTTTACTGAGAACTGTCTAATGTGCCTTGAAACTAAGCTCATGTCCTTATGCCGAGGGAGAAATCTAGTAAGATATCTTTAGGCTTCTTTTGACACATGAAGCTCAACTTCTCATCTTTCCATTCACATTTCCTCTCAACATCCTTTGTCTCTGAAACAGTATTGCCACCTTTTTTGTACAACCAGATATGATGCATGTCAATCATGAGCACTACTCTCCTGATTCAATATATCTGCAGGTTTTATTGACTACATGCTTTCAATCACTGGAGTGTTCACTTTTCTCTGACCCCATCACCATCCGCCACCTGTCCCCTGAACTCTAATCACAGACTTCTATATAGGCTTTACATTTCGTAATTTCTTCCTACTTTTGGACTGGGGATATAGCTCAGTCATAGAGGGCCTGTCTCTCATGCCCAGGACTCTAATTCTAATCCCCAATTCCACACATGAAAAACCTTTTACAGTCTATACCAGTGGATCTTAATCTTCCTGAACCTATGACCCTTTAATACAGTTGGTGAGCTTCAACCACAAAATAATTTTCATTGTTACTTTGTAACTGTAATTTTGCTACTGTTATGAATTGTAATGTAAAATATCTGTGTTTTCTGATGGTCTTTGGGGGTTGTGACCAACACATTAAGAATTGCTGGTCTACACCGTTATTCACATTACAACCAGAGAAGTGTAAAGACATGTACTACCCAGGATAGTACATTGTCTACTTTGAGAAAGGCAAACTAGTGAATATGATACAATCTCTGTTTACCAGTTTAACTTGCTCAACAAATACTCAGTGATTAGCAATTATGTTTCAGACTCTGCTTTTGGCTTTATCTGGTGCTTTTGTGTTGTCTTGTGCATTCCATATTGAGACTTGTCTTTCTCCTGACTTTCTTCTAACACCCTGCTTACTTCTAATATTCTCCCTGTTTGTTACAAAATAGAACATGTTGGAAAAGTGTAGCATTTAGCCAGAGCTGGCCTCCTAGCCTCCTAAACTAGAAGAGGCCCCTGTGCTATAATCCTGGAAATAGTATTCATGTTTACATTCATCCCTTAAATCTATTAAATCTATCTTTCTTAAATTATGCTAGAAGCTCTCTTTGTCTTGTGACTGTGGTGTCATCTTATATGGACAGGAGGCTTACTCAAAGTTTACAGAGAATAATAACAAAATCAGATATTATATAGTTGAATTTAAATTTACAAAAAAAAATAAATAAGGGGGAATACTTACTCTGAAAGACAGACTTGTTTTCTTGAGCTACTTCTGTTAAGAATTCAACAACTTTTCATGTGGGGGAGTTGATTTATATGCTGCATGGAAAATTACTGCATATTTAAGGCTTATCTCAGAACTATAATAAAGCAGCTTATGTTCTAAGTCTTCATGTCGTAAATAGGTCCAGAAGGGATTTAAAAAAAGCTTAATCCTTTCCCTAATACAACACAAGTCACTGAAGTGAAACTTTCTGGAAGGATTCCTTTTATCTTAGGCAACAGGTAGCTTAATGTATCTGCTGGAATTCAAATTCAGGGATTTCTTTGCTTGGAAGTGTAGGGTAATAAGTTATGTTTAAATTCATGCAGAAGTATTAAAAATATTAAAATGCTATGTTTTTAAAACTACCAAAATGGAACAGTTGACTATATAGAATGAATTATATTTCTAAAATATTGAAAGAGCACTTGATTCTCTGAATGTGAACACGGTGTTCGTGTTTTATTGACAGCTGATGTTGCATGGTGAAATGGCCAGTTGTGTAAACCATACAGTTTCCCACTGGTTTTCAGGTGATGAAACTGAGATACTGTCTTTAAAATTTTTTAACTACAATGTTCTCTACATTTTGATATCTGGCCTTCAGATCGATATGTACAGTGAGGTAATACTTTTTTAAACAGACAAAACTGGGTAAATCCCACCTGTTCACCTGCTCTTGTTCATCTCTAAATTTATACTACATCTAGTACTAGTCTGATAGGTAAGCCTACCACAAAAGATGTGTATTTGTTTATAGATATATTTAAATTTTTGTACTTGGTATTCTATTGTGTCTTAAATATAAAAATAGAAGTGAATAAGCAAACAACTAATCACATAGTTTACATTATATCTGAATTAAAGAAATACAAATATATACATATTTATGTATGTGATCATTCATAAATATATCTTAAAATTATAACAAATATGTTAAAATACTGAAAATTAAAAGTATGGAAATTTTTTCCTTTTCTTTACCCAAATATAGTATAAGAGTGTTTCCTTAACTATCAATTATAATTCATATATATATATATATATATATATATACCCAAAATTATATATATATTATATGTTTGTGTGTATGTAAAATCTTGGTTAACAGTAAACATTTTTGAAATAGTGGTAAATGAATATGTTTATGTTGAGTAAACAATTAGAATTAATGTACTTGTCCCCATGTATTCCTTATCTCCTTATATACTGTGTTGTATACAAGGTGCTGGATCTAGACAATAATATAAAAATAAATAAATAATAGATACAGTTTTCTCCTTTAAACATTCTGTCAGTGAAGAACAGATAGAGATGATTGTATGTGGTCACTCATGTAGTTGAACATGCATATTCTAATAGCTCTAAGATGATCAATAGGATAAAAAAAATTAGAAGACAACAGGGCAGCATAAGCAGGAAAGGGTTTTTCACCATATCAGCATTTAAGAGAAGATTAAAAAAAAATACATCTAAAGTCATGTAAGGAAGAACATTCCCAGAAGGCCCTCAAGCACAAATAAGAAGATAGGTTGTCTTTATGAATTTCGTGAAAGAAAAATAAGGAGACAAGAGTAAATGCATAGAACCTTCATGAAGGCATAAGTTCTGACCAGTTTCCTAAGGAAGTGAGTACTACTGAGGAGCTAGGATTTTTTTTTTTTTTTGATCCCAAGAAAATTAGAATTCACTAAGGAGTTTAGAAGAAGGGAACAATGGTGAAATCTGATTGGCCTGCTCTTTGATCACCTCCCCCTAATGAGGGAGCAGCCTTACCAGGCCACAGAAGATGACAATGCAGCCACTTCTGATGAGAACTGATAGTCTAAGATTAGAAAGAAAGAGAGGAAGACCTCCCCTATCAGTGGACTTGGGGAGGGGCATGCATGCAGAAAGGGGAGGAAGGGTGGGATCGGGAAGGGAAGAGGAGGGGCTTATAGGGGGATACAAAATGAATAAAGTATAATTAATAATAATATAAAAAGAGCTTTCTAACTCCCATTTGAAGCATGGTTTGAAAGTGAGTAAATTAATAGATGTTCTTGCAGCACATCAGGTGAGTGGTAATGGCCTCTTCAGCTGGGCAGAGATGGTGCAGAGGATGGACAGTAGAAAATGAATCAGGGCTAAATGCATGCCCTATACAACTCTGTCTCCATAAGAGAATTGGAACATGATTTATTAATTCTGAATATAATAAGGACTCTAGAACCCGTTAGCCCTGCCCTGCCCTTTGTGCGAACTACTAGGGAAAAAGCAGCAAAAGCTAGACCTTGTTTACAAAAAGCTTATGGTCAGTGACAGCAGAAATTAAAATAGGAACATTATCCTGTTGTCTCACATTGAAGGATGCCATCCTCCTGTATTGTCAAATGAGAACATTACACATGAATGTATTGGTCTAGGGTTCAGATTGGCAATATTTTAGGCATTTTAAAACAATCAGCATTTTTATCATTATTGTTAAACTATATTAGGATAGGTTAAGCTCCAAGGATTCTGAAAAATATAGCGCTACTTTACCATCCTATAAAATTTTTGTCAATATGATTACATTGCCAGAAAAACTAGGTACTGGTATGTGTGTATGTGATGATGAAGATTATGAAGATATTTGTTTATTTTTATACATTCCACTGCAAACAGGCACTTGTTTCCACTATGCTCACAAAACAATCATTTGCAGTTCACTTTCTTCTGCTCTTCTCTTTCTTTATTAAATTAATAACTAGATAAAGCTTTATTTCATGCTGTTATTTCTATAGAAAAATTTTAAACGCTATATAGTAATTTCTGACATCTAACAAACTGCACTGAAATGTTTATTTTCAGGATAATATGTATTGAGGCAAATTAAATACACTACCACTAATATCCTCAAATAATTTTTACTTCATAAATTTTCTTAGTGTCCCACTGACAATATCAGTTTGTTGCAAATAGATAAAATTTCAATTTAAGTTTTAATTCTAGTAGCTCTAATTGCTATAAGTTAATTGTTTGGAATTAGCAGATGACCCTGAAAAATATTTAACACCAAATGCTGTTCTCTTCCAAATGTCTTCCCTAAGCTGGAATACATACATCCTAGAACTATTACACAGCCATGTAGTAGATGTTAGAATTAATGTCACACCACCATTTTTCATTTGTGTGACCATGTAAAGATTATATTTAGTAGTTAAACACATTTTATTATTTTAACAACAAAATTAAGTACATTGGGAGCATGCTACACATATCTTTCGGTATTGCTATTTTATATTGAGACAGGGACCAGGGATGTGTTTGTAAGAACTGTACTACCATTATCTGTTTAATTTACCAACAGCCTATTTCAGCTCTCTCTTACATGGGTGTTAAGTACACACACTCATGAGAAAGACACTTTTATCCAATTAGAAGTACGTGGGAGGTTTCTCCTCATCCCATCTTTTACCTTGGTCAAGTTAGAAAACTTCTTTACAGTTCTTGTTCCTCACCTGTAAGATGATGCTCCTGCGTGACTTGCAAGGATTATTTTGGCGCTAATCTGCTATGAGTCCATGACATGGAAAGTTAACAAAGTAACTTCATTCAGAGCACAAATATTAAGAAGACAAATTCATTCTTGTGAATTTCCATTTGCTCATTAGAAACAATTTACTTTGGAAATGCTGTCTGATTTAGGTATCGGTAACAATCATGAGCTGAGCCATTCCATTTTGGACTAAACTCAAAACTCTTCAAACCACTGTTGCCATTGGTCCATTAGAGAGTACCATTGCCTCTTCATGTATAAGATTCAGTTAATTAGAACAAAAATGGTTATACTGTACTAAATGCATCAGACCAAACTTGTACTGGACTGAGCTTTAGAGACCTTGCTGAACTCAAAAGCCCTATGCTCTATGACTGACACCTTGAGTGAACTTGACACCCTTTGTCTGTTGCTAGATCTACGCATTAGAAGACAACATTCTTCTGAAAGCGTTTCTAGCATCAACAGCGCCACGAGCCATTCCAGCATTGGCAGTGGCAATGATGCTGACTCCAAGAAAAAGAAAAAGAAAAACTGGGTAAGACATCCTCTCTTATCAACTTCAGCACTTGTGGTGGCTTGGAGACTAAGCTTTTTTTCCTTTGGGGGGCTTTAGAAATCTCTAGCAGTTGACAAAGCCCCATTCAGAGACCAATATCCCACCTCCTTTACATCTCCAAAGACTGGGAGACATGGTGCTGAAGAGCATACATGCTGGAACCAGGGCTGAGAGTAGGGCCTTACTACCATGATGGAGAGGAGGAGGAAGATTTTGATTAGGATGAAGATGGTAGAAATGGTGATGGCAGAGAGAAAGGAAAATTAGAACTGGTGAAGAGAAAGAAGAAATTTGACACCTAAGCCTTCCCCAAGCCCTGGATTCTACAGAGTGTACAGAGAATAAAGCACCAACCCATAAGAAATGAACAAAATTAGTTTCTATTGATATATATATATATATATATATATATATATATATATATATATATATATGTGTGTGTGTGTGTGTGTGTGTGTGTGTGTGTGTGTGTTTGTGTATATATATGTGTGTGTATATATATATACATATATACATATACATACACTTATGTATCCAACAGAGCATAGTAGGAATACAGAAATGCCTTAAATTTAATCACCCACTACAAAACAACCAAGAATGGGGTAGTAAAGAACCAAATTTCTATTAATACCTTGAGACAAAATTTAGCATTCTTATAAGTTTTGATTAAACTCAAAACTAGTTGAGACTTTTACTGGTGCTTCCTGTAAATAATGCAAACAAATATCTTTTTGTTTTAAATAAATGTTTATGCAGGTAATTATTTAAAATACTGATGAGCCTTCATTCCCTTGATTTGTAATTCCACACTCTTTCATGTTTCTGCAAGGTGAACTCTAGAGGAAGTGAGGTGAATATAAACCATGGACATTTGGCATGCATCTATACAGAACACCCTCCCTTGGCATGAATGCTATTCATTTTGGCAGCAGGCTTTTATACCTTTTAAAAACAGATTACCTTGTATGTCTTTTCTTTGTGCCTTTTCATTTTAATCTCAAATTTTTAAGAGAAGTAAAACCACTTTCTGAATAGAGCTGTAGGGGATACCAATTCTGGTTCTGAATAGTCTTGGAATTGAAAATTTGAATAGAAAAATATCACAATTAATGAAGTGTTAGGTGAATTTGGTTTCATTTTGCTTTTTAAGTTTGTACTGTCAGCAGGACATAACTTGATTGTTCCGCTAAAGTGGCCATTTAAAACAAATTGCCTTGAAGAGAGAAGCCCTGGGAACAGAGATCCCTTCAAGGTACTTAGTTTTAAATGAGTGCTCCGACAGCCATGCCCTTGACCTCCTTGCACTATTTTAAAAGCCCTCCTTGTTTGCGCTGTGCTGGATTAATACAAGAACAAAAGGGAAACACAGAGCACAGTATTAATGTTTTAGGGATACTGTGCTGCCAATGTTAATACTCTGCTTCCGTATACTGACCCCAGGCAGTGGCTAGGATGGCACCTGCAAACTAACGCCCCAAAGCCAATCCCTCCAAGTTGAGATGGACAAAAGCATAACGTCTCTCCTTCTTGCAGCTGAGAAGTTCTTTCAAGCAAGCCTTTGGAAAGAAAAAGTCCACCAAGCCGCCTTCCTCACATTCGGATATTGAAGAGCTGACAGATTCATCCCTCCCGGCATCCCCCAAGCTACCCCACAATGTTGGCGAGTGTGGTTCCACATCCATGAAGCCTTCTCAGTCCGCATCAGCGTAAGTTCATCCCTTTGTAGAATTTTGACCTACTTTTGACAGTTGACGTCAGCTCAGGCTTGTGACTATGCCCTAAATCCAGTCAGGTTCACTCTCACAAATGCAGCATCTGCCTCTACCAATCATTTCAATTCTTGCAAGGAATGGTGGATAATATTTGCTTCTTTCATATTTTCTGTTAGTATCTGGTGTTCTTTTTTCATTCTACACTTTTCTAAATCATTCTTTTTTTACTTGCATTTATCCATGTGTCTGTTTAACTGTGCATACGTGCAGGTCACCCCTTGTCTGGCCACCCAAGAAACGAAAAAATGGGCCTGTGATCTACAAGCATAGATCCCGGTAAATCCCGGTGTGTTGCATGAATCTGTAAAAACAGAGGTTCTAACTTAGCCATGTTTCTTTTTTTTTTTTTTTCTTTTCTTTCCTAAAATCCTTTGCATGTGTCACAGCCTTGGATATTCCTTTTATTTTTTCAACTAAACATTAGGTTCTCAAAACCAACCTAAAATTCAGTTGTCTTTGATTACATTAGATAACATGACATTTCTATAGTACCCCAAATTTTGATAGTATAAAAAACAGCATGTAAAAAGTAATCGATAAGATTATGTCATATGTTTATTAAGGTATCTAATGGACATTTTTCTTGTATGTACAGTGACAATGACTATCCCAGCAAACAATATCACTATGCTTTGATTACTTTTCATGACTTATATAAGGAAAAACATACCATGCCATTTTGTGATCAACTCCCTAAGTCTTCAGATTTTAAATGAAAAACTTCTTAGTTAATATAAAGAAATCTCTTGACAGATTGTCTCTACTATAGCTATCCATAAAATGCAAATAAAGCAATAAGGATATACTGTATCTGACCTTCAGACAGCTTCCCGCTAGGTTGCTAGCATGGATTGAAATTGGTGGCTTAGCTTCATTAGCTGTAATCTCCTAAGTATTCAGGGTCCAACAAGAAGTTTATGTAATGTTCATTCATTATTTAGATGTCCCAAATTAATCTCTGTAATTTATTTCCCACAATATTTATATTGGATTTTCATGGAAACTGAGTGACAGCATGGAGGCAAATAAGGTTATTGTTTGCACAGTTTTATAAAAGAAGAAATCAACATTTTGAGAGTATAATTATTTGGCTCTTAAAAGGGAAAATTTCATGTTACAAATGGAAGGTTAAACCCCTTGACAAATACACAATGAGATGTACCAATGAGTTCTCTCTGTATCAGCCACTAGGGAGTTCTGAGGATTGCTTTCCACTCCATGTCACCAGACTGTTTTTAAACTTCAGAAAACAGGACAAAGAGATGATAAGTAAAATTGCTGTTTTCAGTTTTGAATAAGAGCTGGTAAAATTCTCTTTTTTTTTCTGTAGGTTTTGCCAGCCATGAATAATTTTTGTGTCTTGTGAATATCACCAAACTTCAGCCCTTAAAAGAATCATTCCTTTTCCTAATACTCTGGCTTCCCCTGACCGCCTCATATTTTGTGTTTGGTTTTCCTCTAGGATCTGTGAATGCACCGAGGCTGAGGCAGAGATCATTCTGCAGCTGAAGAGTGAGCTTAGAGAAAAGGAATTAAAATTAACAGACATAAGGCTAGAGGCCCTCAGCTCTGCTCATCACCTCGACCAGATCCGGGAAGCCATGAACAGGATGCAGGTTTGTCCATCAACTCCGTCTCCTTCAGTGAACAAAACGGAGAGATAAAAAGCCAGCCTTTTCTCTTCTCATTGTCACCAGATAACAAATTCCTCTTTTAAAACCACTGTGGAAGCACAGTCTATTTCTTTTTCAGTCTTTGCAACTCAGCTGTTAACATCAAATGGGGGATTTGTGTGAATCCAGATTGGCAGTGGGGGCAGGCAAACAGACCCCTTGTACTCAAGGACTATTCAAGACATACATGCAAGTGAATGGATTCAGGCAGTGTGTTCAGATTTTAGAAACTACTATGATTTTGGCTTCCTTAATTTCCCTCCAGTTACCTTTGTGTTGGCTCTTGAAAGATGTTCTTTTGAAATCTGTGACTCATTTTTATTGGAAAACAATAACTAACTAAATAAATAATGAGGAAAACTAGAAATGCCCATCACAAGTTTAGGATATAGAAGTAGAAATTATTCCAAATGCTGTATGTGGCATCAGAGCATCTGGCCTTTCAGAAGCATCTATGGTCTAAGTTCAGAAAGCTTCTGTGCTCCAACTCTTTCCATTTTATGATCGTAAAGCAATGATGACTTGGTACCTTGCCTGACCGGGAGGACAGGCAAGGTACATGCTAAGCAGGTTTGCCTACTGATATAGGTGTTAACAGAAAGGTTTCTGTGGTTTGTATGAGTGTAGTGCCAAGTTATGCAAAACTAAAGCTCACTTTGTTAGCTAGGATGTTGAAGAAATTCAAATCACTATATAATTAATTTTCCTTTGCTTGGTTTGTCACTTTGCATGAATTCACACAAGTGGAGCTGACATCATTTTCCCGGGAAAGTTTAATATAATTTTCCCTTTTTAAAAAACATTTTATTGATTCTTTGTGAATTTCACTTCATGTACCCCCAACCCCACTTATTTCCTGTCCCTCCAAAGGGATAGTATTAGGGCTGCAGAGCTTTAAGATTGCTTCCTGTTCTTCCAGAGAACCTGAGTTCAGCCCCTAAGAGTTGAGACTCACAGACTCTGAAACTGCAGCTCCATGGGATCAGGATCGGACACCCTCTTCCGGATTCTGGAGGCATTACCCTGCAAGCACAAACCCACACAAGAATAAGCACATAACTAAATTGTCTTTACAAATCAAAAAAAGGGGGGCATTAGGATATCCAGTAATATTCTTTTAAGAGTTAGTTGATTTGCGTTTGTCTGTGTGAAGGTAGACACACATGTGTATATTTAGGGACATGCAGACAGGGCAGAAGGTCAAGTGTCCTCTCTCACTCTTAGCCTACTCTGCTGAGGCAGGCTCTCTCTCTCTGAACTTACAGCTAGCCTAGAAGCCAGCAAGGTCCGGTGAGCACCCTGCCTCAACCCTCCATTCTACCCCATACACAGTGGGGTTACAGGTCTACACAGCACACCCAGCATCTGTGCTGGGATCTAAAATATTAGTAATTTAATTGCTGAGCCATCTCTTCAGCACCCCACCCCCTTTTTCTGGCAGTACCAAGAATTGAATTTAGGACCTTAATAAGGCAATCACTCAAATACTGGGCTAAATCTTTAACTTTAAAACTCATTAGGAGTATATTTTAACAACAGGCTGAACATGGAGCTTAGTGTAAACCCCTTGCTTTGTATGTGTGAGGCCCAGTGCCATAAATAATGACATTAGTCATTGTATCTGTTGTGTCCATATTGGAAAATGTTGCAACTCATGCATGTGAAATGGGGAAAGGGTTCTCTTTTCTTCTTTGAAATAAAATCCTGTTTTCATGATTTATGTTTGTTCGACATTTTACCATAGTCTTTTAACAAGCATACAAATTAAGTTTGGTACAAAATTTGTGCCATCATTTTCTCAAATGCTTTTTTTTTCTCTTCATCTTTTCTTTTTTAATTTTTTTAATTTTTTATCTAATTATTGTTTTTTGCATCTTCACAACAGAATGAAATTGAAATATTGAAGGCTGAAAATGACCGGTTGAAGGCTGAGACAGGTAACACAGCTAAACCTGCCCGGCCTCCGTCTGAGTCGTCAAGCACTGCCTCTTCCTCTTCCTCTCGCCAGTCCTTAGGGCTTTCACTCAACAATCTGAACATCACAGAGTCGGTTACCTCAGGTGAGTCAGTGCGCGTGCGCGCCTGCATCCTCACGGGCTTCTCACGGCTTCTTGGGGACATCCCGAGATGAGGAAAACCTTACCTGTCTTCACAATCCTCACACCAGTCCTCACAGATAGCTAAAATTTATCCTGTAGATTCATTTATTTTTTAAATTTAGTTCAGTAGCTCTGGGGAGACAGGGTCTGGCCTGTCTAGCCCATCTGACCTTGGATACACAGAGCTCCAGCTGCCTCTGCCTCCCAAGCCCTGGGACTTTATTTTTGTAATTTTACAAGAACATTCTCTAATACAGAATCTTAGAGATACAGTTTTTCTTTTTTTTATCAGTTTTCAAAAAGGAAAAATCCACAGTGAAGTACTTCTGTGGTTATGAATAGGATGAATAGGAATAAATATTCTCCATGATTGGTGCTCATGAATGCAACAATAATAACTCCATGCTGGTTAATAGAGTTTTCATTGCACAGAGCCCATTTCTAAGTTTGACTGCAGTGTCCTTCATGATGTTGGCTAGAGAGCGTAATGCTTTCTGTAGCTCTATTAAATTTTCAACAAAGGAAAAGAGCACGCTGGATTCTCTCATTGTATTGAGCAGACTAATGATAGGGCAGGGTACAGTTCTGATTTGATTTCAAATAGAATCATATGACATAATTTCATCTCCATATCTGATGCATAATTCAATTATAAGGTATAACTCTTCCTGTGACATTCAATCATGGACACAGAATTTCCTTTAGGAATTGTTTACATGGAGATCTGTGGTAATTGCATGGCACAACCACCAGATGACACTGGAAACCAATAATATACATGTTCCTGGGTAACTAGACTGCACTGTGTAATCAAGATGCTGAACTGTCTCCCCTAAACTGTACCAAGGTGCACAAGGATCTGAGGATATGAAGGGGGTGTATAAAGAAATGATATTAAGTGCTGAAACTGACTGCATTTTTATTAAATAACATCTTCAAATAAAATCAGGATATTTTAAAATTCCATTTTGATGGCCTCTCATAATATAAAGGAAACACTATAAAAAATGCTTTCCTTCCTTGTCTATCAAGGAAAACAACCAACAGTTCCAATCATTCAGACAAACAAGGTTTATAACCATTTGGGACTGTAGCTTATTGTTCCACTAAACAGTTAGAGAGAATTCACTGTATTCTTCTGGGGGTTATTACCTCAGGTGACATGGAAAGACCCAGAGTGAGACATGCCATAGCTATCTTATTACCAAGAGGAGAATTTAAACATTGAGCACACAGAGAAAGGAGTAATACTATAGACAGTAAAACTTATGATCCGTGTAAATTAGGTGTTTTAAAAACATTCCCTTTCAATTGTCCCCCAAGTAAGTCGTTTCCACCCTATTTTACACAAGAGCAAAACAAATCTTAGGAAAGTGACTGTGGTCTTATCTGACAAGATAATGTACCCAGCAAGTAGAAGAAGTAGTATTTAAGCCCAGATCTGGATGACTCACTGACTGGAGTTTTGACTTAATTTTACTTTAACTATCTATCTATGTAAAGGCATTGTTCATTTGTTTAGCTGTATATGTTTCCTCCATGCTGTCAGGAGAAATTTTGTATTTTAATTAGTTTTAAGAGTTAATATAAGATGAAGTGAATGAGAGACGTGGGGTCAGCAGTCAAGGTATATCCATTTTGAAGGACAGCTACCATTCAATATCACTGCTGAAGGAAAAATATACATGGGATGTTTCCCATAACAGTTCCCCAAACTGTTATGGACATTTATCTGATATGCCATATTTTAGATTTTAATATTTAACCTCTTTAAAATCTGGTATTATAAATGCTGTGTGTTTTAGCATACATTAGTAACTATTAGGATATTACTAAAAACAGAATGTTAGTTCTGAAGCTGTTGGTGTAAAGGGTACAGTAGAACAATGAGTGCTATAGTTCTGAAGATATGTATACTGCCATTCTTATTAAAATGACACTGATGGATACAAAGCAAGGCCTACCTCAGTTATATCATGTACCAAATGCGGACAAAAATGGTTCACTTGGCAGCCACTGGCAGCCAGCACCTTTGTATTCATCTAATGAAAAACTGGACTTGTGTGAAGTTTTTTTTATCTCTATAATGGCGCCTGGATATTATTCAGGTATTATCTATGCCTATGTGTTACAGGGGAAAAAATTGTTTCCCCATTCAACAATGGCCCAAAACTTAGCTAAAGATCTTGGGAAATAGAAACAAAATTTGAGATTGAAGTGTGAGTCCCACCACATATTCCATCCTCTTGAAGGCTGAGGATTTTTTAACCAGTTAGGCTAGCCTGGGAAACATATTCCATTGGGCAATATTTACATGGTAGAGGGAGGAAAAGACGGACAGGAAGCAACTGTGAGCTGCTGTCACTTTGTAGTGATTATGTGTCTTTCTGAATGTTACAGATATTTCGCTAGACGACCCTGGCGATACACGCGGACATAGAGACGGCTGCAGTGTGAAAATTATGGTCTCCGTGAGCAAGGGCTACGGTCGGGCCAAGGTATTTGACTAAGTTTTGATTCTCTTTAAGTCACACATGAGACTCTTACCATTTTAACTGTGTTGCATAACTGAGGGTTTGTTCCTGTAGATTTTATTATTATTAATTTTTTTTTGCATTGGTGCTTGCTGAATATCTTATATAAGATGAAAGGATAGAGACAATAAAGAAAGGACATCTCCATAAACAGGTCACTAGAGCCACATGCCAAGATAGCTCTCCTGGGCTGTACAGGAAAAATAGGTGGATCGTTGTACAAACAGGAGACTACAAGATAATGAATATTCTAGATGCCAGAGAGACAGTCTACTGAAATCGGTAGAGCAAACTCCATTAATGACACTTGTTCATGTCCCTTTTAAGCATACTGCTGCCTGATCAGACAACGATTTAATATCTGTGTTCATATATTATCTTCAAATTAATACTATTTAACTCTGTGTCCTAAAACTCAAAAGGATTTTTAGTTGAATTGTTACTTAGTAGCCCAAAATACATTCTTGTATTTTTAATCAAACATAATAAAATATTTCAAAATTTAAAGATAATACTCGAGTTTCAAAAGTGAAATGCTACTTGTGAAAATATTACAAGTAATACAGCATCACAATCTTTCTGCCTGAGCAGCAGACTTTTGCCTGCTTTTCCCAAGTGGTCATTTATGGCTAATGGTCTCAGGGAAACCTAAACTACCTCTAATTGAAATGCAGCTGGTCTAAATCAGGGTGTGAGCACCCATATTCACTGTACTATAAACATACTAGAAAAAAAGTTTTTCACCAACAATAACCTAAATAATAATGTGTTTCAAAATCTTTTTCCTGTACAGCCCAGGAGAGCTATCTTGGCATGCAAGGACTGTCTCTCTCTCTCTCTCTCTCTCTCTCTCTCTCTATATATATATATATATATATATATATATATATATATATTTTTTTTTTTTTTTTTTAACCAGTTCTAGAGGCAGACAACTCCGAGATCAAGCTTCTAGCCAATTTGAGTATTGGTGTGGCCACTGTGGGCTACAGATGGTCAACTTCTTCAGTTTTTTTAAAGATTTGTTTATTATATATACAATGTTCTATCTGAATGTATACTTGCATGCTGGAAAAGGGCACTAGACCTCATGGACCTCTGGAAGAGCAACCAGTACTCTTAACCTCTGGGCCATCTCTCCAGCACGTCTTCATTTTTTTTTTTTTACATCTTTTTATTTAATTATTTTTTTATTCACTTTGGTAGTCAACTTCTTAATTGAGCCTGATGGATCCTTTCCTTGGCATCTCTGAAAGGAAAAGATGTACCAAAGACATTACTCTTATCCCAATGTCCTCATTTTCATGGTCTTCTATGACCCTAGATACCTCCCAAAGGCCACTCTGCTCATTGTCACTACACTAGAGATCAGGACTTCAGCAAATTAATTTGGGGAACAAAAATATTTATCCCCTAACAGTACTGAAATGAATATTGAAACTGCTTAGCTCAGAATTTCTAAGGAAAAAAAAAGTGATGTCAAACTCAGATCATATGTTTGTAAAAATGATGATGATCACTTACACTTCTGTGTTAAATGATACAGCTAAAGAAACTGAGGGTTAGGGTCAGCTGTGTGACTTATCTCTGATCACATTTCTTAACGAGGTGGTAGATGCTGTGTGTTGTAGAATTCATGTGTTCTAAACGCTTGGTTCAATGATTATTTTACTGCTCTTTAATGGCCACTAGACTACTGAAAACAGGATTTTAACATTTTCACTAATTCTACCCACAGGTATCATAATTATTATTTCATATAATTATTTCTTCCTAACAAAAAAGATATCACAACTTAACTACAGCTGACAAAAATATTTTCATTTATCCTTTTCCTAGAAAAATAATTTCAATTATCCATTCTATAAGTAATTTAGATATGAGATCATCATTTCTACTATTAAAGAATGCTCCACAATGAGTCCTGAATGTTTCTCTTGTGGGTTCTTTGAAATTTTCTGACAAATTAAAAGTCACACTTGTTTTCAGATAGGTAAATACCATGGTAGGTTACTAGTTTTTAATGATGCATTAGTTTTTAAATTCAAGGTAAAAATGAAAACACTGTGTATTTGGTTTATCAAAGGTAAAAATCATAAAATAACAAGACGAAGTTCTAGATTTGTCTGGCAAAATTCATTCTCTCTTCTATTTCTTCCTTCTGCACAGCCTCCCATAGGAGGAATGAGTCAAATACATCACAATGAAAAGCGATGCTCTCTGATGCCTGTCACCCTCTCTTCTGAACAGCTTATTACCAGTTTCCCTTTGCCTACTGTGTCATCAAAGTATTGTTGTTGTTGATGATGACAACAATGATGTTGTTGTTTTGCTAACTATGACTTTATTTGCTTGGTTTACTAACTAGCTGGGGTATATTTTATTTCTTAGAAGCCACTACATACAGTCATAGACAGAAACTACAGTAATATATTTTAGTGGGAAGTATAGTGATAAAGTCCTAACACTGTTGGGTCTCTCTCTCTCTCTCTCTCCTCCTTTTTTTTTTCTCACTAAGGATCAGAAGTCTCAGGCATATTTGATAGGATCCATTGGTGTCAGTGGAAAAACTAAATGGGATGTCTTAGATGGTGTCATTAGGCGTCTCTTTAAGGTAAGTTTTTGAAGATAGCCTGACATCACTTTTCATGGTTTTCCCCTTAACTTTCATAGTTTGAATGTATCTGCTTCCCACCCCCACTCCATCTCAACATGGAAATATTTCTGTCTTCATACTGTTTAATATAACAGTTCTTATACACTCCCTCCATTTTTTTTTTTTTTTAGTTTTTAAAATGTATTTGTTTTATACGTATGGGTGGTCTGCGTATGAGTCTGTGTACCATATACATGCCTATGAAAAGAAATAAATAAAAATGACATCAGACCCTTCATCTAGAAGTTACAGGTAGCAACCATCTGGGTACTGGAGGTTGTACCCCGGTCTTCTGGAAGAGAAACAGTATTCTTAACCAAGCAGCCATGTTTCCACCCAAAACATCTCCAGCACTGGGTATCCCAGGTGCTCTCCCGTCTAAGTACTAAACAGACCCAACCCCGATCATTTCCTGACACGAGAGGGAATCAGGTACATTAGGAGTGGTATGGCAATAGACCAAACTGTGAATCAAGATTCTTGACAAGCGGCTTTTAGCCTCATGAATTTCTATTTGTTGCAGATGGGTTGAATCTCGGTTTTGACATTTCCTTATTTATTTTGTGTGTGTGTGTGTTTGGACCGTTCTAGGAATATGTGTTCCGAATTGATACATCCTCTAGTCTTGGTCTGAGCTCTGACTGTATTGCTAGCTACTGTATAGGAGATTTAATTAGATCCCATAACCTAGAAGTGCCTGAGCTGCTGCCATGTGGATATCTGGTTGGAGATAATGATGTCATCACTGTGAACCTGAAAGGTAAAAAGAAAAGTGTAACTTTTGCATCTTCTGTTTGCTTTTTTGTTTTTTGTTTTTGTTTTTGTTTTTACTTTTTCTGTTTGTTAACATTTGCATATATTATATGTTCTATTAACCTCTGTGATAGGTTTGGTTTATTTAGAAATCTAAATTCCTACTAAAACCATTAAAAGCCCAAGAAAGTAATTCTTTCAGTTCCATAAGGTAGTTCTAAAGAGTCACCAAGACTTGTACAAGAAAAGTAACTTGGGGAATTTCAGATTCTAGTGTTTGTTTTTTTTTTTTTTCTATCTCATCCTTATGGTGATAGCTTTCAATGAGAATTATTGTGTTTCCAAGACTAATATGTTCACAGCTATATTTTGGATATAAAATATGTGTATTCAATAAACATATATTTTTGTTTGGATGTTGAACATACATTCAATAAATATGTATATTCAATTCCTTAGGTGGTAAATAATGAGAGTTAATTGCCAGAGATTCTTTATGCTGCTTCCTGGGTTTATGCTGTTGTGTCTGGTTATAGCTTATGGAACACGGGACACAGGCTCGCCTCTCTAGTTCCTTGTATGAATGTGTACAAGAATAAAAAGTTGTCTACATAAACTGTGGGTTGATTCACTAATATTTGACCTTATGCTTAAAATAACTGACTTAGTAAAAAGAAATAATGTTGCTCTCTTCTTAATCCTCTGGCAACACTGCAATTTGTATTTTTTCAAAAGCTTAAATGGTTATACAGCTATGGTGCTCTTATGAGTGATAGAAGGTAATAAGAATGGGACTACATATTGTCCCCTTACGTTTTGGCTTTTTGAGACAGAGTGTCACTATGTAATTTCAGCTGGCTTTGAATTCACATTGTCCTTTACTAAGGCTGACTACTCATGAAGCCATTTCCCTGTCCTGCTTCTATATTACCTTACTTATCTCCCACTCTTCTGGAACACTATAAATATATCTCTAAGATAAATTAGCACATTTATTTATTTTAAGAAATTTGAGTTTATGGGTTTTTTTTCCTTTGATCAATAGTGGAAAACAAGCAGCTGCCAGTGGAGGAAAGCCTGAGAAGAAAGAATCAGCTTAGGTTTTCATCATACCTCCTTATCAATATGTTCTCTGTTCAAACGACAGCCAATGCATGCAAGTTAGAAGTAGCTAGGAACTTATTTTGTATGAGCTACATTCTAATGTCTAACAAGGCTTTATTTTGGTTTAATAATGCATTTCAAATTCTATCAAAAAAAACCCAATAATGCTTATTATTCTCTTTGTTTCTTCCTTCAGGGGTAGAAGAAAATAGTCTGGACAGTTTTGTTTTTGATACACTGATTCCTAAACCAATTACCCAAAGGTACTTTAACTTGCTGATGGAGCACCACAGAATTATACTCTCAGGACCAAGCGGCACTGGAAAGACCTACTTAGCAAACAAACTTGCTGAATATGTAATAACAAAATGTGGGAGGAAAAAAACAGAGGATGCAATTGCTACTTTTAATGTGGACCACAAGTCAAGTAAGGTGAGCCACAGGATACTATGAAAACAACTGATGTTTATCCAGAAGTGTCTTCAAGCAATCAAGGCTTAAAATTACGTGCAACTTTCACTTCACACATTAAAAAAAATCTGTATCATCCACTAAAATTATAATCTAGTGGATGAGCAAACTTTACTTAGCAAATATGCATAACCTGCTATTTTTAATAACAGTCACTTACCATGTGCTTGAAAAGGCACTAAGATTATAAGGAATAAGATGGCAGAACCTCTGTGGCTGACTTCCCTTAGACATGCATTCAAAAGAATGGCAGCTATTATTCATGATGCTATGGAAGGAAGAAGGTTAAATGAATCCACAGGCTAAGGCAGGCTGCATAAAAATACAATATCTGTTTTAAGCATCCATAAGTGAAAAGAAATTAACTGGGGTATTGTAGGAATGGGGACTGATTTGGAAATAATTGTTATAGTTGCAGATAGTTTAGCAGAGCGGCAATTTGCTTATATCATGTCTCTAGAGAAATTCTGCTTGGGAAGTTTGGGGAAGTGAGGGATGTTTCAGGGGGCTGATGTTCTAATATGCCACACTAATCTGACTGGTGTCCATTATTACATAGGCATGTGAGGCTAAATCCTCACTGACAGTTTCTGCTATACTTAGTGAAATAAAGACTGCTATAACAGGGATTAGGTGATGGCTAACATGACCATAACACTACCAGTTATACCAGTTCTGTTTGTTAAATTCTCAGCAGCTGCTCCCTGAGTGCTGTTGGGAAAGTACAACTGTCATCACCATTACTTTGGTGGCATGCCAGTGAGAAGGGGTCACACTGGAGCCTTCAAAATGGCCTACTTGAATGATGTAGTAAACTCAACAAGCCTTTCAGTGTGTTGGCCGATTTCTTGTCACTGTGATTAAATACATGAGATAAACTTAGAGGGAAGAGGGAAGATTCATTCTGTGTCACAGTTCCTGAGAGTTCGGTTCATGGTCAGCTGGGCTCATTGCCATGTGTGTGGTCATTCCAGTTCTGGCAGTGTAGAATGTCACGGACACAAGAGAACTTGACGAGGTAGAGATGGTGACTTCATGGTAGCCACATATCAGAGAGAAAGGAAGGGAATTTTCTGAATAGGAAATACCTATTTCCTATAGGTATACCCTTTAAAGAAATACCCTAGGCAATGACCCTCTTCCTTAAGACCCTCTCTTTGAGTAGTCTGTCCAATATCAACCCCACATTAGGTTAATCAATTGATGATATTATTGGCCACTTGATATGATGAGTTCCTCAAAGCCTGCCAACTAGCAAATAACTACATAATACCAAAGCCTTTGAGAGAACATAGAAAATCCATGTCTGAGATTTGCAAATTTGCCAGAGGTACTGTTACTCCAAAAACCCATCGGATTCTTCAAATAAGCCAAATGCGTAACTAACTAGGGTGGCTCATTAAGTACTGGGGGAATTAGAGACCATACTGAAAACCTTTGTACCTTCATTTTGTTTTTTTCAACTTTAAAATGAAAGAAATGTTAGGGTTGTGCTAAGTACTCAAAGAAATTATGTGTGTGTGTGGGGAGGTGTTTTGTTTGGTTTGGTTTGTCAGTATGTGGATAAAGAGAAAGACAGAGAAAACTATCAGAGACAGAGGTAAACTATCAGTACCGTCATTTCTTAAAGTATACTTATCAATATTTAGTTATATCCCTTGGTTCCCAGTGAAGATTTCTTGCACAAGTATACATTCATCTCCCAACACACATATACCTTGCTTCAAAATTATTCTCACAAAGTAACATATACAATGTGCATGAGGTGTCTTAAACCTAAATCAATGTGGCCTTTAAATAATGGACATTTATAGAATTCAGCATTATTCAAATTGTGGTTATGTCACTTTTTGTCATCTATACTGAAGAATGACATAAAACTCAAGGTAGAAAACTTGACTCCTCTTTAAGCTGAATTAGAAGGAGACAATGGATCATCTCTTCCTACCTGCATATGAACCATCTCCTGTGATCCTGTTTCTTTATATTTTCACAGGAAAGCCTTTTAGTCACTGTACTTTTCTTCCAGACAAAGGATAAAAGAACTCTGAGATCTCTTGGGAATACCCTATGTTCTCTTTGGCTTTTCCTCAGTGTTGACATGCCAGAATTCTACACGAGTTCTTTGTTTTGAAAAATAAAACAAAGAAAAGAAATAAAAAGGATTTGGAAGAGGAGACCAAAGCATTTTGATAAAATGGAGAATCATTTTGTATATGATTGTTTGCATATGAATTAAATATGTCAACTCTAAATGGGATACAGTTTGACAATGTAAATAGGTCAATTCCTCTAACAAAATGATCTCCTTTCAAATATATATATGTGTGTGTGTGTGTATACATATATATTCTTTTTTAATATTTATATCTTATTTTTTAAATATTTAATACTTGGAGAAATTTTCATAATTATTAAATTAATTATTAATTAAATTATTTCTGATTACATTTTTAATATTTTTTATTTTTCAAATGAACAAATAGATCAAATGATCTATTAATGACTCATTAATAGATCAGTTTATATTTTGTTTCAGTTGAGTGGTCAGGGGTGGGATCTTTAGGGGTATTTAAGTAAAACATGATCCGAGGAAGCAGTGTCGGGAAGGAACGCCCTAACAAACAATTATAGCACTGATCAAGAAAACACAAAACACAAAAGAAAGATGTTGATTTTTCTCCCTTAGTTTGTTACGTATGGATGAGTTGTCATTCAGGCTGTGTGCAGAATTAGTGCCAGGGAATACGGCTTATTATTTTCAAGTTGACAGAGAATCCACACTGTTTTATTGGGGGTGGGAGGGTAGGTACTGAGGGGAGAGGATATGCGTGGGATGGTGATAGAAAGAGGGAACGACAAGTAAAGATTTGCTAGGGGTAGCAACAAAGAAATATATATTTTCAAAAATAAAATGCTAATGAGGCATGAAATAATAAGTCCTTTGCTACAAAATAAAAAAAAAAGAAGAACCATGTAATTGCTGCTTTGTTCTAGGCTATGCTATTAGAAAACAGCAGACATGGACAGCAGTCACTTACTCAAAAAAAAAAAATTATCAAGCAATAAACCATCAAAGGGAAAAAGAAAGTGCCTCCTCATGTTTTTGGTACCTCTTCATTTTACATTCTGTTCCTCTTCCCACTCTTCAAGCCCTCCCTCAAGCTGCCAGCTGGAATATTGTGATTGAGAGCAGAGCACACAAACAATTACACTTTGTGACATTTGATATAACAGGCCCAGAAGGATGGAAATGGATTTAGTAGAGCATATGTGGCCAGCTGAAGCCACTTGGAATGTTAGGTAGGAAAAGATCAGAAAACTGGCCTTGGCAGACTCGTTTGTAATGGATGTGATCTCCATATAACAGTAGTGCTATCCATGATCTCAAGGTCTAGACGGGGATTCATCTCATTGCCAGGTCCATCTGGCATCCAGCTCTGCCCTATTTTGCCTGACTTGATAAGGGTGGCAAATGCTTAACGCACATCCCTCAGTCCCTTCACCTAAGATTTTCAATCCATAAACTGGACTGAGAAACACAAAGTGCTTTCCAAGGGGGCTGTAAAAATATCTATTTGTTCCAGTGGTGGCAGTACACACCAGGCAGAGGCAGGTGGAGCTCTGGAGTTCAAGGCCACCCTGGTCTATAAAGCAAGTTTTTTTTTTTTTTTTTTTTAATTTTATTTTTTTCTTATCAGTTACATTTTATTAACTCTGTATCCCAGCCATGTCCCGATCCCTCATTCCCTCCCAGTCCCTCCCTCCCTCCCTCATCTCCACCGTGCCCCTTGCCAAGTCCACTGATAGGGGGGACCTCCTCCCCATTCATCTGATCCTGTTTTATCAGGTATCTTCAGGACTGGCTGCAAAGCTCTCCTCTGTGGCCTAACAGGACTGCTCCTTCCTTGGGGGGTGGGGAGGCCAAAGAGCCAGTCATTGAGTTCCTGTTAGAAATAGTCCTTGTTCTCCTCACTATGGGAAACCAATTGGTTACTGAGCTACCACAGGCTACATCTGAGCAGAGGTTCTAGGTTACATTCATACATGGTCCTTGGTTGCATGTCAGTCTCAGAAAAGACCCTGTGCCCAGATATCTTTGGTCCTTGTGGAGCTCCTATCCTTTCCTCATCAGACTAACTCCCCTTCTTTCTTATGATTCCCTGTACTCTGCCAAAGGTTTGGTCATGAGACTTTGCTTTGAAAACACTGCTAGTTAGAGTTTTTCAAATGCGCTCAGTAGACTCCTGTCAATGTTTAATGCGCATCCCATCTGTCTTTCAAAACGAGGATTGATAATCTTACCCCATGTCCGCTCTCTTGATTATCTTTTTTAGGTGTATAGATTTCATTATGTTTATCATATCTTATAGGTCTATATAAGTGAGTATATACCGTGTTTGTCTTTCTCCTTCTGGGATATTTCACTCAGGATGATCTTTTCTAGGTCCCACCATTTGCCTGCAAATTTCATGATTTCCTCCTTTTTGATTGCTGAGTAGTATTCCATTGTGTAAAAATACCACAATTTCTGTACCCATTCCTCCGTTGATGGGCATCTGGGTTGTTTCCAGGTTCTGGCTCTTACAAATAAAGCTGCTATAAACATGGTTGAGCAAATATCCCTTTTGTGTACTTGAGCAAACTTTGGGTATATACCTAGCAGTGGTATAGCTGGGTCTTGAGTAAGCACTATTCCTAATTGTCTTAGAAAGCGCCAGATAGATTTCCAGAGTGGTTGTATCAGTTTACATTCCCACCAGCAGTGGAGGAGGGTTCCCCTTTCTCTACAACCTCTCCAGCATGTGTTGTCCCTTGAGTTTTTCATTTTGGCCATTCTGATGGGTGTAAGTATAAAGCAAGTTTTAAGACAGCCAGGGCTACACAGAGAAACCCTGTCTTAACAGACAACATGTGTATTTGAACAGATAAGTGGCCCAAGGCTTTGATCATATTCCCAG